ATGTTCATGCATGCAAATGTCGTCGACATGTCACGTGCATTTCCCGGCCCACTGGCCCACACCGGCAATCGCCCAATTTATTATTTATTACGACTCGAGTCAACAACATTCACGGCCCGGTGCGTCTAGCCTCGCTTCAAAGTGCATGAGGCGCAAAGAACCGATCCGGCCCCAGTGTCTCTAGCCTCTCTCAAAGTGCATGAGGCGCAACACTGATCTCCTTATGAACCAGAGTCTGCTTCAAAGTGCATGAGGATGGTCGTCTTCCGGACGTACCGGGCATCGTCCTGCTTCAAAGTGCATGAGGACGGTATCGACTTGAAGGTCACGACCCGAAGGCCCTTAGGTGATCACACAACCCATTATTATCTGAACCCCGCGTAACACGCATCAGGGTATTTTAGGTGATCACATGCTCATGACAGGCATGCAGTCTCACACAATTTCATCACAAGCCTCATTCTCGGCATTCATAATGCGTGCCATGAAATACAACATGAGCATCCACATAACATAGGCACAGGCACACGGTTCAATCAGAGTCATTCCACAGTGTCTAATTCACAATCCACGTGCTTACTTGGCCTATTAATACTATGCGGCCCAATTCCAAATACACAATTCAAGCCATCAATTGGCCAATCACACTCCGCACGATTCAGCCACACAAGCACGCAACATGGCATTTTACAATTAAACACAATTGATCACCATCAATCAACAGCCAATCATTCTGGCTAATCCCGGCCATTCAGCTAATAACTCTTGCTGTCCAATATAATCCGGTACATTCCTCGAAAATATGGACAGCCGCTATTTCCTCAATCCGAGCCCAATAATTATCTATAATAATCCCACTAAATTCCTCGGATTTTATTTCCACCAATCAGTCCTCAATCCAGTCCGAATTATACATCGATAATACCTAAACCAGTCCAGAAAAACGCACTATTAGTCCTAATCCGGGTTTAGGAATTTTACTCACTTAAGCCAAGGTCACGACGATGGGGAACGGCAGCCGATCACTGGTGAACAGTGAAACCGGCGGCGGAATTCCCGGCGACGGTGTACGTACGGCGTGAACAATGACCGTACGGACGCGATGAACAGTACCGACCGTACGGACACTGTACGGGGGGGACAGGTACAGTCGGCGTCGTATGGCGTGGCTGGACGGCTGGGTGGTGACAGAACGGCGATCCGAGCTCCGGCGCGGCGGCGGCGGTGCTAACCCGGGAGAGAAAAAGAGAGGGAAGAGAGAGAGAAAAAAGGGGTCGGACGGAGGCGAGGCTCAGGCTGGGGGCTGTGGTGGTCGACGGCGGAGCACGGCGGCCGGCGGCGGCGCTCCGGTGACCGGCGGCTTGCTCCGGCAAGGCCAAACAAGAGAGAAAATGAGAGAGAAAAAGGGAAGGAGGGGCTGTTCTGGGGTGGTTCAGCCGAATGAGAGGGAGAGGAGAGAGAAACTGATCTGATCTTGGTCAAAAATATCAGTCCAAAGCGCCACGTGTCGCCGATCCGGGCCGTTTGACCAAAATACCCCTAATCCGACGGCCGACGTTCGTTCTAGCCCAATAATTGATGGGCAAAATGGTCATTAGGTCCAATAATACAGCTGATAATCCATATTTAATTACCCCAAAAATTTTCCCAAAATTCGGAACTAAAAACGGCCCAAGGGCAAAACCGTCATTTTTCCGGTCCCGGGGCGAAGTTCCATTTTTCGCCCGTATCAACCCTCTATGTGCGTGGCCAACATAATATGGCGTCGGAATCGCGAAATTCATCGCGCAAGCCCTCGAAAATCGGCCGCAAAGTTTCGGGAATAAAATAATATTTTTTTTCCAATTTCTGTCGAAATTCCAATTTTTGGCCATAACGACTCCAGGTATGCGTGGCCACCCAAAAATGGTTTCGGCCTCGAAAAATAACCTCATTTGGCCTCGAAAAGCAACGCTGGCGTCCCGAGGGGCAAAATCGTAATTTTTCACCCCCGGACCGAAATTTCAATTTTTACTCGTACTAACTCCAAACGTGTATAGCCAGCGTGATATGACGTCAGATTCCCAAAAATAGTCTCTTAAGCCTTTGAAAATCGGCATCGAAATCCGGGCCAAATTCCGTGAACAAAACTCGCTAAACTTTCAATTTCAGGGTCTCTCACTAACGGGCGGCTGTTTAGAGGTCACGCGTATCGACCTAGGGTTATCCGAGTCATAACGGTCCGATCATTGAGAGAATGAGAAATTATCACTAGTCCCAGAGGTCACGATCGTTCGAATTAAGTTCAGGACTGGTTGGCCACGTGCACTCTCGGTCGTGCAGAATCACCTGCGATCCGATTGTACATCGTTGGCCTTGGCCAAACCAAATCCATCACCCTTTCCTACGATCGGCTCACGTTGGCCCAAAATATTCCCTCAGCGTCTCTCGTGATCGGTGTCCGTTTCACGATAGGGTTTCCGGTCCACGTACCATTTTCTAGTTAGCCATACCCTATTGGTTAGTATCCCGAGAGTGATCAGCTCCGGGCGAGACTTACTAAAATGAAATGCGAATTAATATCAGTTTTATTAATCCCGGAATTACATCGAAATTCGGGCTGTTACAGGTAAATGCCAAAAAAATGGTATTAAACGGGTTCATAGTTTACCAAACTCAACTCACCTTTGTGACTCTCTCTTCATCTTCTTTGAGCAAATAATGGATTCCTTGAATTGTTCAAAATTCAGAGAAGTCTTGGTGTGCCTGCAAGATGGGCTCGACTCCATGCATATAAAAAATATCAAGATGGCTGCCTTTTTTCCTCATTATTTTTTATTTTTATTAATCTTGTAAGTTTCTTCTGTTAGTTATTGAAGTATATCTTTCCTCGGTTGCATTTGGCATTATTAGTTTTATGTAATATTCTAATAGTAGTTCCCGTCAGTGCAATCCATGGTGAACATAAATTAGCATGAGTTTCTTAACTTTCGTAAGGCGCTCACTTGAGTACTATAACTTTTTTTTCGCTCTGTCACCACTATGAAAAATCGATCATTTAAGTGCCATTTTTAATTTGCTTTGCCGGAAAATCCAACGTGGACGCTAGGCATTCTATGTGGCACTGCTAGCTTCGACGTAGACAATTTTTGTAATTTTTTTCGCTTACTTATGTGTCACAAATTTGAAAAGTCAATCGCTTAAGTGCCACAAATTTAAAAAATCAATCACTTAAGTGTCATCGACAATTTGCCTTACCGAAAAATCCGCCGCCAACTCTCGCCATATCTGGGCCCTCGCCGGCCGCGGGTGCGGCGGCTTTGCTGCGAAGGTCCTTGCCCAAGAGGACAACGCCTTTGCGGCTAGCGCACAAACATAAAAAACCCAAAAAAAAAAAAACAAATCAACAACCAAAAATCAATTTAAAAAAATACAAAAAATTCACGTCGGATGATTTGCCGAAAGTGACAGATCGATTTTACTTCGATGCAACAATTAAGTAAGCACCGTATAAAAGTTATGGCACTCAAGTGAGCTCTGCACAAGAGTTAGGGCACTACGGCTGTTCCTATCCCCAAAAATAGTGCATCTTTCTTCTACGTGATGGAGTCGTGATGAAGTCGGGATGGGGGCTTTGCAAGCTGAGGAAGATGGACTTTATAGATGGTCCGTTTCTTAACTTGCTCGCATGAATTCACCTCCAACATTCAACTTAAGGGCCTAGGGTTCCGGGAGACCGACCCTTGCCGGTGGTGACTTGATTGGAGCCATTACGGCGAATGAACAGAGTTATATTAAATAGCGCAAGCATGTGAAAGGACCAGATTTAAAGGAAAAATTATGGCGGGTCAAATTGCACAAACAACATAAGTTTGAAGACTGCTTTAAGCCTTTAGTCCATATTGAGAGATCCTTCCAGTGTATATACCACGAGAGAATCCTACGTACAACAATCCACTTATGTTCCTAAGGGGATCATTCAAATTGCAGCATTCGTCTTCCACGCTCAAAATCTGAGTTCGAACCACCACACCTTCACGACTTGCGGCTACTATTGCTAAGAGCACGGACTTGTGTGTTGTAGTAGTTATTCGGTACGTGTAGGACGAAAGGACTGTTAATCTCAACCCATGCGTTTGAGTCGGGTGCTTAATGAACCCCAGTCCCTTAGACAGGATTGTTAAACTTTTAACTTTGTATCTCTCGTGTTTCCCGTGGAAGATTTCCTTAAGGATGTAAATAGAATGGACCAAATGAACAAATATTCATTTGAACTTTCTGCGGGTACCGAGGAACTGTGCATTGCAATGGATAGATCAGAGAGATCCTACCAGCTTCTAGCGGGCTATGGTGCCGGGCAGAATCTGTATCGTTTAGAACTCAACCATGACGCGAAGACACATATTTTGTTCTGTCTGGAGAGAGACTACATGAAGGATGTGTCGCCACCTAGGGTTCAGCTTCCGACGCTAAATGGGACCGGAGGAACATCTTCTCAATTTCAGGCGAGTTCTCATGACATTGAGGGAGGATAAGGAGACAAAACAAAGAGTTGACAGTTGAAGAGGGCTCCGAACCGGCAAAAAGAGTTGGGCACAACTCTAACCTTTTGTGTACATCATTAGGTACTGATAAATGCACGCCAATTAGGTTGGTCTGATCTATATCACTGAGGTCATTACAACTTATTACACGTGAAAAGGCATTTCTTCTGGGTCCTTCAATCCTGTCATTGAAATGGGAAAGGGAATAAGGGCTCCATAAGGCCTATGGGTCTGTGAAGCACTGGGACAGAACCATGATTTAGTTATATTAGGAAAGCAAATTCGCAGATTGAGAGGACAAATGCTTGAGGGAATGAAGAAAAGCATTTCTGTTCCAAAAAGAAATGAATATCCACACGCCTTGAAACTTTATGTTGCATGCCTACAGAGTTCGTTTCCCTTTCCCAAGATCAAAGAGGAGGATCTGAATTTTATTCACCGTCAGCTCCGGGTCAGCTCCGGTAAAGCACTTGAAACCGGCTTATGGATCTCATAAATTCCTGCAACAGCATGATCAGAGAAAAAACATTGGCATTCTAGCAGATTACATCGAAGCAGATGATATTAGTTCCTGTGGAACCATATTATTGCAGCCATAATATGCTTGAAATTTCTGCACCTCAAAGTTCTTATGATGTCGTTTGGTTAAGATATAAACTGAACATATAATCAAAACACTAATGCCCAAAATATATGCATGTGGAGTGTGTGTAAAGAGAGAGAGAGAAAGAGACCATGTAAAGCACTGTCATCATCTATCTCAACACTGCACCACTGTCTCCACGGGTAATTTTGCCATCTTGTTTCCTCCAGTAGGTGAAGTAGAAGAACTGAATAAGTATCTGGACAAGATGTTAAGGATCCTTGTTGGGCAAAGATCATCTTGAGCAACATCTGTTACTCAACAGGTCTGTAAGTTCAATTTTGATTCATTTGTAACTGGATCCACAAGGATACGAGAATGTCCAGAAGGACACAACCGGTTGCATCCACCAGCCATGGTAAATTTGGCCTGATTTTAGACCAGTCTAAGCTGCTGACTAGTATACTAAAACACAGACAAATCCCATATCAGCAAATGAGAGAGCAATTATAAGAGAAGGAATAGAGATGCATAACATGTTTAATAAGACAGGTTTTATTTACCTCGCTACATAGGTAATATTTCCAATCAAAGCAAAAAGGAACATCAATGGATTAAGTCCCTACAATCAGAAAAAACTTTCAGAAGTATTAGTTAAATTAACACATATTCAGTGTTCCTTGAGATGCAGCTATCATTAGACAATGGATTGACTGAAAGCACATTCCTCCCCAAATGAGCATCTATGAATCTCCCGGTTTGGGGGTTAGGATCTTGAATCCACAAATATTTATGGGCAAGAGACGGAGGCAAGAAACAGGAAAACGTAAATGGTCAGTCCTCAACCTCAGTTAATCTCAAATGATTTGGGACCCTATCAGATGAATAACATGCGTTCTTGCATTAAATGTCGCAAAAAGTTTGACAAACTACCAGATGAATCAAAGATCTCACCTCAACATTTCCCCTCCTGATCTGCAAAAAGTGCACAAACCACCGATTAGACTTACTTTTCAACCTAGCATACAAGTAGAACAATTGTGATGACAAGCTAATGCTGATGAAATCATAATAGATTTCAATAAATCAAGTGCAAGACAGAAAACTTTCTGCCATTTGTCTGCTGTTGAATGTGGAAGGATAGAGAAGAATTATGCAATCATGTGGGCTTGTGCATAATGTGGGCTTCGCAAGCAAATCCAACCATTTTAGACCAAAGGATTAAAAGAGTACAAATGCTCTTTCCCAGGCTTACGAAAGTATAGAATTTCATACATTTAAAAACAGATAAGTAAACCTCACATTTAAGCAAATCTGAGGAAGCCTTCCACCCATGTAAATAGCTGCCATTGCCCAACCAAGGAAACTTCCAACTCCACTATTGCCAGCAAAACCATTTCCATCATTAACCTGATTCATTTACCAATCATACATGCAAATATAAAAATCCCTATGCAAGAAGAAATAGTCAGAGACAAATCATTCTACTATAAGCGCTCCTTGTGCAAGGTTTATTTTGCCTTCCTTTTACATGGACATTCTCAATTGATCTAAGTGCTTCCTTTTTCATCATCATGAGAGCTGAACTATTTTGACTGGTATAGCAAAAAAAGAATCCATCAAATGACCCAAGAATAAGTAAAGCAACACGGCGAGGAACTACGTCAAGCCGTGTGAATGGAGATCTGACATTGTCAATGGAACAAACTGTCACTATAAATAGGCTCTTGATAGCAAATCATGGATTAGGCTTTCCACTCATCAAATGTGGATGCAGCAGTGGACCTTAGATCTTAGAGTGCCCTACAGGTCTATTGGATAAATCATCTGAAATTTTAAATCACCTGCAAAAGCTTTCTTCCAACTTGCATGACACGTCCACTGTGTTTCTTGGAGACAGAACTTACTCTGTCTTTTACTGGCTTGGGGAGATTGAAAGTGCCAAAAAATGTAACTGCAGAGACCTGAAGTTAAATAAGTCAATAAATGGCTTTCAACAGATGGTGAACATCATCATAATACCAAAGCTGTAGGAAAAGTATACCAGGCAGAGCATGTTTTTGGTCTTTGGTGATGGTGCAGATTGTTCTGACAAATCTCCAGCAAGCAATGGCTCTTCAATTGTACCTCGATTGTCAGCATTGTTGGGACTCATCCTTAGCGGAAAATAAGATCCTGCTATTGGAGTATGGCTACTTGACAAAGATCTTGCTGATCTGAAATAAACGATTATTATCTGTCGTAGTTGCATAAGACAACCCTCATTGCCTTGAGGCTATTTCATTCACTATTAAAAATTGTGCTTTCTCTTGCACTAGAGAACATTAATAGCCTCTATAGCATAAATCATCGTTATTTAGTCTAATATTACAAAAAGACTAGCAACTTTCAAGCGGAATAGATGAAGAATCTTCAGCCAGAGCGGCAATCTAGAGTAGCAAAATTATTATAATCAGGTTTAAAAGAATTGAAATACAGAAGAGCACTGTTCTTTAATGATGGAAGACATAATCCCAAAACAAGGACAGAGCATGAGGTCTAATCTTTTAGCATACGTCCCTTTTCTACAGGATAAAAGTGAGAATGTCTAATGATCAAAGCCAAGATAGATTATGATTCCCAGAACCACTCCACAACAGCACATTGGTTTATCTTTGACCTTTTAGAAAAGTGCATGATACTCTATCATAAACCATGAGAGTATTAGTGGCAGCCAAAATGAAAGTCGAATGATTGTGCCAGCCATAGCTCTTGAAGAAAACATTTTCTGAGCTTAGCTAAGCCACCAATATCCCTAATTCTTGCAGCCAACTGTCTGGATAGGTGATTTTCATCATTCTTTTCATTTTATCCTCATGTGCTCTCCATGTGAATGAACCAATAAACTTCTATAAATCTTCAAATCGAACAAATACTGGATACTAGATAAAAAGTCAGGCAGAAATTCAGATGACAGAGAAATTTGGAGAGAGAAATTTAATTACACGTAATATAATCCTTTCCCAGGGGAAGCATTTGTTGGAAGTGCTGGAAGAGGAATTGGTGAGCTCAAAACACTTTGTCTATCAATGGTGTCAGACCCATTTTGCGATCTCTCAGAGCTGTTGGCTTCTTTCACACCGACTTTGCGAATGCTTTGTCTATCATCCCCCGTGGACTCAATCTGATTAGGCTTGGGACCCTAAAGTGTACACCAGAGGCAATAGAAGATTGAGTGTGTGCAAAAAAGAAGAAAAAAAATGAAAACATCTGGCAGTAATTCCACGGCAACCTATCTGTGACTGTCACTAGAAAAATAACGCATTGTCAAATGGGAACCTTTAATATACTAGAACATTTGGGCAAGAAAAGAGCTGTGATAAATTGATAATCTTCTTTCCCTAGTACCTGCTATGAAATTAAGATGAGCAGAACGATTGTAGGTAAAAAAAAAATATAATGGCCATTGATTCTCTTTAAAATCCGCATGCATCATCCAGTTCTGAGAAAACAAAGTAATTTAAATAGATGGACCTAGAAAAACTTGGAACGGCAGATCATGCTTGAAGTCTAAATGTTAGTTTTAGAAAGGAGGTTAATAAATTAGAAATGGATAAAGAAAGATAATGATATGCGAACAAAATTTAGGTTATGATAAAAATACAGACCATGGGAGAGTAAATTTGATTCCCTAATCTCCATCTCAAAGATTGTTCTGTGGATGAAATTAACTAATTTCCAGGCTGGAAGACTTCGTTCTGTAATTCCAGCAGCATATGTAGTTCTAATATTATCTTCGAAAGATGAGTAGCATTCTGAGATTTTTGCAAAGAGTTAGCAAGAAAAGCATTTTTGTGTTGTCACCTTGCAGAATGACCGCCTGTACTTCAACCAAGGGTAGATGTGACCATAGTATACCGTCTGTCCAGTGAGTACCACTGTAGTCACAGTATACAACTGCATTGCGCAATATGAATAAAATTATCTCACACATCTTCAGCAATATGGGAATCGAAAAATTGACAGAAAAGAACTGATCGTGAACAACAGAATAGGCTTGAATCTCATACCACTGCCATGTAGTATTGTGTAGGAAGCTGCAAAAGCAAGCAAAAATGTCATGTTGGTAAGCAAGCAAAGATGTCATTTTGTTATTTATGCCTTTGGACAAGAATAGTGATATTTAGGGGTTCAATAGTGTACACTACCACATATCTACCAAAAAAAAATCCTTACATATCACTTTGCTAGACGTTATCACACAAACCACATATTCTACGTACATTACATCCTTGATGACTTTGGTTAAAAGCATTTTTGAGAGGAACATATAAAACATATGAAAATAAAAACTCACCGTGGCAGGTTCTAGCATGCAGCCAAAAAGGTTGAAAAAATCCCTGTATAATAAGATGGTCAACACAGTATATTCATGCCTCAATGCACCAAAAATTTGGATATAGAATAAATCAAAATAGAATTTTCATGCCACTATGCACCAAAAAGCAAGCACTGCAATGAAGTTTCTTTAACAAGGGTTATAATCCATCAATGAAGAATTTTTAAGCCAAAAAAACAGAGAATACCGAATTGGCACATCCTTTGTTGAAAACTTGCGTAGATTAAAACGTGATTTGTTAAGAATGAAGGCAGTCAGCTTATCAACTCGATGTTAATACTTACGCTGAGAGTTGATTAGATGGATTGAGACATCTACTATCGCAACAATCTTAAAGGATATTTTACAATCTCATGGCCTATTTAATAACAGGTCAAAATATTTTTCTCCCAAATTCATTAAAACAAAGTGGAACAGCCCCAGTTGGAAGCTGCTGTTAGACCGTAGGGATTTTTGACATTTGCTACACCAGTCCTTTTTCAGGCAAGAGTAGAAAGATAAGAGCCAAAAACATTTGAAGCATGCAGCAACGTTTGTGCACATAATTGTCGAACTTAAAGCAATGAGAAAGCAGGGCTGTTACCACCAAGAAACTATACTCCCCCAGCCAAAGCAGACACGTACACAATACGAGCAAACATAAAGCACAGAAATTAGAATTATGAAGCCGCAAAGAGGCATTAGATTACCCGAGTACCCATGTTATCAGGAAAGCAATGGAAAGACCCTCTGCGGATTTCTGCTTGTAATTGGTGACGATTTGAGGTATCTCAGCGACACTCCAGCTGATCACACTAACCACACCCAAGGACAGAGATATTCCATCCTTCGCGCTGCAGAGGCAATACTGCATGTGCTTCCTAGCCCATTGCGCGCAATGCCGACTTGCAGGGCACAGAGGCATGTCGTTTCTGAATGGTCCCATTGCATCCAAATAACATGTGATTTAATGAATCTGGAACAACGACAAGACATCATAATCAAGGAAAAATCAAGAGTAAAGGACACGGATCCACATTAATGTGCTAAGTATTACTTTATAAGAATGCATGAGATTTTCTATAAAAAGACATCTTCGAATGTAACGCCAACCGTGATTCTTGGTCGATGGACATGCTCCTGCAGCTGTAGAATTACGAGAAAGAAGGAAACCATTTACCCCTACAACCGAAAATGGAAATCGTATCGCAACCCAGTCTGTCTGTCCCCATAACTATTACTGCAATAGAAACACCATCGCCCTCCCTCCCTCCTTCTCTCTCTCTCTCTCTCTCTCTCTCTCTCTCTCTCTCTCTCTCTCTGGCTTTCCTGACTAGGCTGTTTCTCCACAATCGGTGGCGGGTGATACTCTACGGAACGCCGCTGAGAACGCGAACCTGTGAGCTGATCGAAAGAGAAAAAGGGCGGAGAGAAGCTAAACGTAGAGAGGCAGCATCTACCTTCACTCAACTACGGCGAATGACGGCGGCCATTGCAGGAACTCGAGGTAGCGGCGGAGCACGTAGATACAAGGAGCGAAGTGCGTTCGTGGCGAGCCGAGAGAGAGAGAGAGAGAGAGAGAGAGAGAGAGAGAGAGAGCTGGCTGAGTGAGCGAGGTAGTCTCTTCCTCTTCCTCACGGGAACAGCGTCATGTCAGGTCGTTACATGTGGCCGCTTCGTCTTCGCTTAAAAAAAATAGTCACGTGCACCTGCACTGCACACATGCATGCGTCACGGACCGGAGTGATGCAGTCCCCCATACTAACTTACCCTTATGGATGGAGCTTGGTAGTGTTAACGCAGAATGGATAATACAAAATTCGTACGCAGGGCATGGGGTGTTTATTCTAAGAATTCTAGTAAAAGATTATAACTAGTTTTGGAAGACGGGAATGGTTTTTTGTTCATAAACTAGGTGAGAGTTAATATCGCTTTTGTGATGAGGTTATGGTAGGTCGAAACACTGCACAAGTCACGGACTGGAGTGATGCAGGGATTCTCCCGTACTCACGTAGCTTTATGAGTGAAGCTTAGTGTGTCGGGGTGAAGAATGAGTCATGCAGAATGAACGATATAACTGGTTTGTAGGAGTGGCATCAAAGTGTTTGTTTTAGGAATTTTATTATAAAACGGTTATAACTCTAGGAATTCTGAAGACGGGATTAACCTTCCGCGCACAAACTGGTCGGGAGCTGATGCTACTTTCTTGATGAGGTCATGGCAAGCTGAAACTAATTGTTGTGCCGAAGTATTCCGTGTGTCTCGCTCGATGGATTGGATGCCCGAATAAAATTGGTTGTGGTACAATCCGATACGAGAACGTTATTCGTCGTACCGCTCTTAGAAACAACTATAAAATGAAGGCTGTTCTCAACTCGCTAGGTTCTGTACCGGCTACTTAGCGGCTTGGAATATGTTGGGCCATGACAGATGGTATTAGAGTAATGACATATGGTATTAGAGCAGGATCCCTTCAGTATGTGGGTTAATTCGAGAAAAACCTGTGTGGTCTACCCGGTCTTATGAGGGTGGAGAGTGAATCACCGGAGCAAAAGGGGATCAGACAAAGTGTGGCTTAACACATGAAGGAACTGAATTGCTCAATGAATAGGGATAACGTTCTCGAATCAATTGGTAAATCTCAAGATGGGTCTACTATTACATTTTCAACAAGGAAAGAGACCTCAATTGGTTAGCTGAGACCAAGAGAAGCTTAGTATGCAAAAGTGGGTTATGCTGAAAGGACAGTTGGCTTCAAATGCCACAATTGTAAGGGAAAGCATAAGTGATCGAAGATGCCCGAACAACTTTGATTGTGAGAAGCCACCAATGGAGTGCACTGGTATGCTTTGTTGGGTGAGCGTCCAGCGCTTATGTAAGACCCGACCGAGCGGAGTTGATGGTACCAAAGCGACGCAAGGAAGCGATAGAACAGCCCACAACAAGAATTTTGCGGATTTGAGTGGGGGAGAATGTCTTGGATCGGAGTGACGCTGGGATTCTTCCATACTCTCGTACCATTATAAGTGGAACTTAGTAGAGTCGAGGTAAAGAGTGAGTGATATAGAAGGAATGATGCAACTGGTTATTTTGTAGGAGTTACATCAGGGCGTTTGTGTCAGGAGTTCTAAGATAGAACGATTATAGTTTTAAGAACTCTGAAGGCGGAGTTGGTCTCCTGTGCACAAACTGATCGAAAGCTGATGCCGCTCTCTTTATGAGGCCATGGTAAGCTAAAACCAATTGTGCCGAAATGTTTTGTGTATTTCACTTGATGGATTGGATACCCAAGCTAAACTGGGGTGGTACAATCCGATACGAGAATGCGATTTGCCGTGCTATTCTTAGGAACAACTTTAGAAGGAAGGTTAGTTTGGTGTTGTTGGCAGGTTGGCCTGGTGTTGTTAGCTCACCAGGCGTCGCATGGGCTATTCTGCGGCTTGGAATCCATCAGCCTGTGACACATGCACAAAGGCTTGTATTGTTTAGATTTTTATTAATGGTTTGAAAAATATTTTCTTAAAAATGACTATTTATAAAAATGAATGACAAAAAAAAGTTTCATCATCCTCAAAATTATTTAAATATAAATTATTATTGATAACGAAAAATACTTTTTTTACTAATTATTACGGGGCGATCATTTTTTATTTTTTTTTCCTAATCGTTCTTTTCCGCAAAACGAACTACCTTCGATTACCCGATGATTTATTTGCGCTATAATTGCTCCAAACCATCCTAGCAATCAATAAAATGTGAATCAAACTCCTGATTTTATGGAAAAAAAAAATGATCCCCACCTTGCTGGTGTACTTTCAGGGTTAATATGTTTTAATACATCTATACATATTTGTTATCTCTAAATATTTAAGCCAAAACCCAAATTTGTCTGGCCTTTTTGATTATTTAAAAGTACCTTTTACATAAAAAAGACAAAATTGTTTCGTCACTCTCTTCGTCCAATAACCGCCCGATTCATTCGTGTTAAATAACCACCCACCCTACACGAACACTCAATTAAATAATCACAAAATAAAAGTTAAACAAAAATGGTTTCCTTCTTATACGTATCCATCGATTATCATGTACGGGCGTAGCACGTGCCTCAACATTGATATGCATTATTATGAATGCGCTAACAACTAAAGTGGCCCAACTCTTAAAAACAAAATCAGGTCTAGACCTAAATCTGCTCCAAACTTTTTTTGACACATGGACTTTAATGGTGTAGATTGGATGAAAATTCGACTGTGGGCAGATTGGGAACTCATTGAAAATTGATAATTTTTTTATGGAATAAAAAATGGTTCAATTGCAAATTGACATGTGTCTGCTGACGTGGAACAAAAGTGAAAAAAAAATATTGGCCGGAGAGATCTACTCAGCCATGGAAGCTTCCCCACCGTCGTGCTCATGGTCGGCTCCAATTTCCTTCGTCACTGCTCGCCTTTTGTCGTACCATGCGGTCGGCTCGTGGTCGGCCCCATCCAAGGCCAAGCCACCCCTCCCTTGTCATGGTGGCTCAATCCTTGCTCGTTTAGATCTGGACTGGAGTTGTCCCTCCAGAACTTGCATGCCTTAAATATAAATCACGTGGGTTTCAAGTGAAATTCATGTGATGTTATGTATAACATGCATTGGATCAATGTGTTCTGGATCGATATTCAGTTTTCACTAATGCCCTTGTTTGATTTGGCCTTGCATAATGCAAGTGCTAGAAAAATCTATTGCACCGTCGAGATTCACGAGAGCCCTCTCGAAGACAACGCTCAATTTCATAAAATGGACTCGAGATTGACATCAAATTGACATCAACGGTTATGCTCGAATAGTATACATGTTTGGTACAATATCGCATGTTTTTCTACTAGTTCAAGAGAGATTTTCAGGTGCAAATACTCTTCCCGCACGATACTCCTTCAGGTGTCCCGACAAATCTCAACGGTTGTAACACACTTCATCTTCATATATTCATGGTCGAGATTTATCGAGGTACCGAGAAGGGCATCGGGCCTATTTGGTGGCGCTCACATGAGATTCACATTATGTAAAACCACAGCGGACCCGAAAAATCTCTCCCGGTCCAAATTTCTGGGCCTAATTTCCACCGTGGGTTTCGGGCCTCATTTGGGCCCAAATTGCACGCAGCGCGTGAACAGCACTCTCTACGATTTTCTCTCTCTCTCTCTTTGGCACGCAAGATCTCCGTCTCGTTGTCGTTGCAGTTGAAGCGGCCATGGATGCGCCACGAAGGTCTCCTACTTCTCCTTCCCTCGCGAACGTTCACTCTTCATCGCCGAGAAGAAGAAGAAAAAGAAGAAGAAGAAGAAGAAGAAGAAGAAGAAGAAGATCGCTCGCCTCGGTCAATTCCAGCTCCAAGGCCTGATTCCGCGTTCCCCAGCTCGATGGATCACTACAAGGTGCTAGGGTTGCAGCGAAGCGCGACCAAGGAGGAGATCAAGGAAGCGTTCCGCAAGCTGGCGATGAGGTACCACCCGGACAAGCACTCGCGGTCCTCGGAGGCCGTACGGGACGACGCCGTCCGCCGGTTCAAGCAGCTCTCCGAGGCCTACGAGGTCTTGGCCGACGATCGCAAGCGCGCCGACTACAACTCGCGCTCGCGCGGTGGGAGTTACTACGGCGGCGCTGGTGGTGCCGGCGCGAGCGGTGGGCACGGACGCGGATATGGCTATGGTCGAGGTGGTTATGGTAGGGGCAATGATTATTCGCGCGCTCGCGCGAGCGGTGAGGGCGTTGGTGGATTGGGTGCTAAGTTTGAAGCGGCATTGCGGTTCATGACCACTCGGGCGTTTCTTCTTAATGTGGCCTTCGCTGGGTACGTTGATGTTTGCCTGGTGTCGTTTTTTTTTTTTTTGATAACCGAGGTATCCCACGTGCAATGGACTATTCCTCGGGGTGATGGGGGTACAAGACCAATGCCACCGGTAAGCCCCAAGATATGATCGGCGGGAGTTAAACCTGGGACCTCATCAGTTTTACTGTCTGAGCCAGAAACTCTCAACCACTCGACCAATCACCCCATTGGTTGCCTGGTGTCGTTGTTCGTTCTCGCAGTCTTGCATAAATGTGCAGTTTTGCTTGATGTGTGTATTCGTTGCAGTACTCTATTAGGTGCCGCGGTTGTCATTGATAGGGGAAGGGAGGCCCTGTGGAAGATGCAAAATCCCGGGGTATGTTGAAGTTGTTTTTCTTCGGCAAGATGCACATGTTGTTCCTTGTCAATGCACCATTTCTGGTCTTTGGTTTTTGTGTGTGCGAAAGTGACCAATATCTCTGCTTCTTCTGCTGTTAGACTGGCTGATATCGTCTCTTGTGCGGTCTCCTTTAGATATCACTGACTGATTTGACACATTTGGCCTTTGTTGTCAAGTCTATACTGACGTGCCATGGCGCCAGTGCCTATGCTAGCCAGACGACAGCAATTGTAGACATGGAAGGAAAACATGTAGAATAGATGCAGATCATGTGCCCTTTGTTTAATGTTGATGTTGAGGAAGAAGATGGGATTCTTAGGTTTTGAAATTAAAAAATATGAATCCTGCTAAAGTTATGATTTTGAGATGCATATGTCTTTCTTTGGTCAAAGAATTCGGTGGACGTGAACCCATCTAATATATCTCCCTCAGTAGATCGTTAGTTTTATTGGCCAGGTGGTGAACCCAGGGGACTGAGCTACATTGAGTGCTAATGCTTTTTTTCTTTTTTCCACGTAATCGCCTCCTAAACAAGCGTTCTAGGTATTGTCATTTGGAGAGTAAGAGCCATTATTATGCTATTTATCATATTCATTGGAGAACTTTGTAGTCAAAGAGTTTATCGGGTTTTATTTCCATCCCATATGCTTAATATTGTACTTATGGATAAGGAGGAGAGACAAAAACGGCATTGTGTTTTATGGGTTACCGTTCTTGGTTAACCTTATCATGTAAGCTCTTGTGTGGTTTTTGATGTGCTTCACTTCTATGAATTATAGACAAATATGTGAAGCCTTTGAATATTTAGGTTTCCTGAAATACAATTCCCTAGCTTTTCCATGTTTAGAGTTACTTTGGTTTTCTGGTTCTAGTTTCCCTTCTCTTACCTAGCAAATGAGTCTACCTAGGAGGGAAAATTTTCTCTGGATTCTGCCACTAAATTACATGCGTGCTTCCTCAGAAGGAAGGAAAACCATTGCATAAGTTTTAAAAGTACATTCAAGTATTTCACCGAAATTTGCTGGATGATGAATGCTGAAAGTATATCTGTCTACTAAACTTTGCACTACAATTTACAGAGTTATGATAATGTACACCAAATGGATGTAAAAGTACGACCGTGCTGTATTTGGTTTGGTGAAAGACTTTGACAGATTGCACTCCATTCAAGTCTTTTTTTGTAGGAACTCATTGGTCATTTTATGTCAATTTTTGTTTCTTCTTCATTCCTGGGCGCAGAAATCATTTGAAGAAGCAATGGAATCCATTGAGAAGGCGAAAGCTCAAAGAGATAAGATGTGAGAGGGATTTCAATGGTACCTGCAGTGACAACCAATCTCACTTGGCAGCTGCAGTTCAGACTGCTACACATGCTCTTGGACCAGACTAATGACAGCTCTTTACACCATTCTTCTGATAATTTTCTTAGTGCATCGTTCTTTCCACTCAATGTTTCCATGTTGTGGGAGAGATCACAATGTCTGTTTATAGCATGTGTTAAATTGAGCCTAAACTCTGACCAAAAAACAAAAAAAAAAAAAAAAAGAATCGAGCCTAAACGACATCTCAGAAATTGGAGGATATGGAACTTTCTTCTACTATTAGGTGGAAGATCTTACCGATCAGGGAGTTTTTCGACGTGAGGTCTTTTTTGTGATCTCCATCACTAGTCCCGTTATCTGTTGTATGTAAATTGGTCGAGTCTGCTGGACCAAGTTTATGTGATAATTTCCCCAAATATGTAAATTTCAGAAGAAATAGATTTATACCATTGCCTTTTGTGGGTGCCAATTGCCATGCAAGTAAGCCCCCTTTCCTGCTTCTCTCTTTTCTCGCATAGAATGCTTTGCGATTTTAAAATCTACAACACCCCCTTCCCATCTCTCTCTCTCTCTCTCTCTCTCAAGATTGAAAACGAGTTAGAGCACACAAATATCATTTTCTCAATTTAGGCGTTTTACTTTAACAAATTAGAGGAATTACCAACGGACATGGTTTAGTTGAAGTTAGTGAGGAAAAGGGAAGAACTTTAGCATATTCTCTTAATGTATGGACTTGAGTCTTTACATAAGGTCAAATTCATTACCCTACAATTATTGCCGGGCCAGTGGATGTGAACTTGTGGCGCACTCCTAAAAATGAGAAAGCAGCAAAGTTTGTCATGTCTATTAACTTATGGATTTGGCTGTTTTCCATCTTGTCTCTTAATTGACTCCATTCTTTGGTCCTAATTGATCCTGTTCTCTTTCCCTTCTAATAAAGTTAGATTACTCTAGTTTCTGTTGAAGATAGAAATATGCCTTTCAGAGAGTCTTGAGCGGGTGCAGACAAGAAATCTTGTCAGCAGATAGGCGGCAAGCTAAGGTATGTGCCAGTTGCTTCCTTTACTATAACAAGAGAAGAAGGGAAAAAAGAAAAAGGAAACATTAGATATAACAAGGAAATACTAGTTTGCTTTTGCATGGTTTCTTGGTTTTTCTTAGGTCTGCTGTTCTCGAAGTGCATTTGTGCTGGATGATAGTAGCGTGCAATTCTGGATCGGTTTAATAATGCTTAGTTCCTGTTTCCAGAAGCATGGCATGAGCCAGGAGACTGTTTAGTTAATCTGAGGAAGCAGAATTTATATTGCAATATTATTGCTTGGAGAGACTATGCCTTGCTAGACACTGCAACCTATCCAAGTATTTCCAGTCCCTGAGTGTGTACATATACCCACACTTTTTACATGGTTCGCTGTTCTTTATTGGCTATCATTTATACCCTCCAATGATACAACACAGCAAATGCTGAAGAATGGAAGTATTTTCTATCTATGCACGGGTCCATGCACCGGACCCTGGTGGTGGAACTGTCTGAGATTTGCCTCTGCAATGGCATAAACAATTCTCCGTCGGTATAGCGAATGGAAGAACAGTTCTTGATGCAGAAAAACCACTTCATAGGTGCACAGAAAGTCAATTATCTGTTGGTTATCTGTAATATGAAATGTTTTAAGGGAGAGAAACATTAGATTCTTTCAAAGAAAAAAAATGAGGGAATGCTACTTGGGAAAATTCCACCTAAATAATCTACAATGTTTTCTTTTTCGCTTCCGGCCTCGTTAGGTAGAAGAAAGAGGAAATGCTATTTTGTGATAGCGCACCTAAATCATCTGGAATGTTAGTTTTTTTGGCTCATAGAGAAAAGAAGAATTTTGTGGTTGGGTTGGGGTGGGAGTGGTGGTTGGTGGGGAAGGGAGAACCTGAATAAAAAGAAAAGAGGAGCACTGGGTGAAACTGTGCTTTGAGATAAATTCATTTTATTGTGTCAAACTTTACCGAATTCTTTTTATTGTGGGTATCAGATGGTAAAGCCACTTTTTGAGCCCAAACTTGCAAGAAATTGATATTTCTCTGTTGCTGATTTGATGTCCCTCAGAGCCAGAAAATAGAAGATAAGCTCCTTGATATGGAGAGAATCTTGAAATATTTGGAACGATAAGAGAACCAAGAAGGCTCCAACTATGATGAATAATGTCGAATGATGAAGGAAGGCGATGAAATATCTATTGTCATCTGCTCTTGATAAGTTATCAACCATCTGTTAACTCTAAATTGCAATGATGGTTTCATATTGCGGCTCTCTGGCTTCCATCTGCAAATATGCCTCAGATATAGAGGTTGATGTTTATATAGCCATCAAGGTCAGCAGCTTGCTGGTATAGCTAGGAGCCTATGGCACTTGGTGAAGCAGAACAGTTGAGAGAGGTAAAAGTCAGTGAGGCAGCATGAAGATGATGCTTCGTTCTACGTATTCGTTTGCTCAGATTTTGAACTCATGACATCGAATTATGAGAAGATTTAAACTGCAGAACTCCCAAAAAGATAGTAACTAAATGTTTTAATCAGCCAATTGTGATTCCACAGGGGGTATGTACATGTCAAAGCTCATCGTTTAATAGAGATTATTCTGACAGAAGCCGTTTGGTTTTAGAGACGAATCATGTCCGTTTTTTGCCTCTACCAGAAAATGCATTGACGAATACATGTGCCTGAGAAAGCAGAGAGGAGAAGAAGCAGTTTTTGAATCGAGGTACAAACATCCATTTGACAAGAGTTCCAGTATGAAGATGATTGCAGTGAATACATATTCTGCATAATGCCGAATAAAGTCCCTGTCCCTGATCGGTGTTTTTTTTTTCTTTTCTGAGTTTTTACATCTACTTTTATCTGATGAGGGTGGAGGTGAGGCTGTTGGCCATCTTATGCATCTGCTCCGAGTTTTTTTCTCTTTGAAAAGGTATCTGTGAGTTTCTTCTTCTGCTACTAAGAACCTTTCAATCCTCAAACCCAAAGCAGAGAGGTTCACGTTCCTTCTGATTTCTCAGTTAACGTGGGCACAAGGTTTAGTGGAAGAGCAATACAACACCACTCACTCTGCATGTGTCAAGTGGAGACGAATGTGGACTGCACGTACCTCTTCTTTTTCTCTTGGGAATCTACATCTACTCCCATGTTTCTTCTCCCAAGACTTCGTGCAGAAATGTCAAAGCACCCACCTTGAATTCTTGTTTTTCAATGCCGTTGAAAACACTGGTGGAATTCTGAACCGGGGAACGAGATGGGCGGTAAAGCAAATACCATATATTAATCGACCGGCTTTGACGTAACTCGGACGACCACGGCGAACCGGCCACGGAGGACTTTGCACGGCGGATTTTTTATGGGGCCAAATAAAAGCAACAATCTTCAGCGTCAACCACATCAGATATCGTTGTGTGAAAATTACTTTTCAAATGCGACTGCGTCAATGAAGATTTAATATATTCGAGTCCCATCTTTCTATTTTATAATATGTAACATGTGGGATACAGCCTCGCAAACACAGGTCGAATGTCTGGGCTGCCCAAACTTCAGAACAAAGCAAAGTCGCGGGAATGAATGTCCTTTGCCCCGAGGCAGCAATGATTCTTCCACGCCCTTAAGTCAGTGGAATCAATACTTAAACCCCCGCAAGATGGATTTTAATATTGATGGGGCTTCGCTTTGATCGTGAAAGCAAAAAGCCTCCCTCCCCACCAACGTTGCTGCCTCTCTCTTTCTCCTTGATTTTTCAAGTACTTGTTTTTTTTAAACCCCTCCAATTTCTAATCCCCTCGGCTTTCCCTGTCAAGACTGGGCGTTGGTGCCATTCCAACTAACAAATCCGAGGGTCCAACTTTAATCAATGACTTGAGTTATATATAGAATCACTAACTTTAGTGCAGGATCCGACAGTGGGCGTTTGATTGTGTTCTGTAATGACGCAATGTATGTTATATATCCTCCGAGGGAAATACAAGAAACGGTCAAGACTCGAGAGAGGGGATTAGAAAAATGAACAGAGGATTCGGGAAAAAGACTGCAACTTTTTTTCTCCCTTTCTCATTCCAATCTCTCTCTCTCTTTCTCTTCTTTTTGTGCCGCCCCATTTCCTTTTAGACATACCAAAGCTAACGAAACAGCTCTTCATAGCTGTTGCCTAGGCAAGAAAAAAAGGAAAAGGGAAAAAAAGAGAAGTGAACAACAGGATCGCATTGCCTTTTTGATTCTGGCAATCTTGGGTTTTTAGCTCAGGCTTTACGGGGTCTGATCTCTTCACTGGGTGAGTTGCTCCTCTCTTTGATGTTGTTCTTCATTCGCTTCCCCCGTCTGTTCTCCCCTGGAAAAATTCGAACTTTTAGCCTTGTAACCACTCGGCATTCATAGTTCTGAATTGGGTGTTGATCAACTTATCTTTTGATAGTGGGTGGTGAGTTCACGCTCTGATTTGTTCGCCTCTATTTTCTCTTTTTCCTTCTCCTGTTCTTCTGATCAAGACTTTAAATAGATCTAATGCGAATTTGGTTGTTCATGGTTTGTTTCATTTCCTCAATACAGATTGCCATCAGCAGATAAAGACCCCATAGAAAGAAAAGGACACTGAGGTGGAGAGAGAATTTGATCTCTGATATGATGGGAACAAGAGTTAAAATCAGGAGATTTGTGATCATGTCGGCGAGGACATGTTACAGATCAGTTTGCAATCATCCGTTCCTTGTGGGTATGTTGTGCTTCTTGTTTTTCATGTACAGATCATTTCCATTTCTGTTTTCGCTTTTGGTGTCTGCATCCCCTGTTTTGGTCTGCACCGCTGTTCTGCTCGGCACACTTTTGAGCTTCGGGCAGCCAAATATACCCGAGATCGAAAAGGAAGAGAGAATTACGCACGATGTTGCTTCTCTTAAAGCTGGTGTCGTGCAAAACGCCACTATTGTCAACCGCAATGAGGACTGTGTTGTGGAGAGATTTGTGGGAAGGGAGAGAGAAGTTGTTGATAGAGCTGTCCAAGAAGTGGGTAGTCCAGATGGTAAAACCAGTATGGTTGAGGAAGATGATGGCTTGCTTGAATCGACTCGGTTGATCAATGATAGTCCCCAGGAAAACCAAGGCGAAAAGCAGGTGTATGAGGAAGCGGCCGAGGGGTTTCGTGATCTGGAGCAGGAGAATGATGCTAGTGTTCATGACGAGAAGTCGGATGTTGATGGTCATGAAGATGGAGGACATCAGTATACGTTAATTCAGGAGGAAGAGTATCACAATCTTGAAAGGGAAAATGGTGGAATGGCGAGAGATTTAACTGATGCTCATTTGGAAAGTCCACTGGGGTCCAAATGGAAAGAAATTGATGAGGAGGACGACGACGACGACATGTCTGTGGGTTCTGGTTCTGATCATTCAGAGAGCTCATCACCTGATGCTTCAATGGCCGACATCATGCCAATGCTTGATGAACTACACCCGCTTTTAGATGTTGATGCTCCACAACCAGCTCACCTGCCGCTTGATGACTCTGACGTTGCCTCGCAGCATTCCAGCAAGAGTGAAAATGGGATTTTGGAGTCTGATGAGGATAACAAGAATGAGGAGGGAGATGATGAAAATGATGTAGGAGAGGAGGAGGAGGAAGAGGAAGAAGAATCTCAGAGAGGCAAAGAGGATGAAAGTAAGTCTGTGATTACTTGGACAGAGGATGACCAGAAGAACCTCATAGATCTGGGTACTTCAGAGCTGGAAAGGAACCAACGGTTGGAGAATCTCATTGCCAGGAGGAGAGCAAGGAAAAACCTAAGAACAATGACAGAGAAAAATCTGATAGACTTTGATAGTGATGATCTTCCCTTTAATGTGCCTCTTATTGCAACTATGAGAAGAAACCCTTTTGATGGTCCTGATGATTCATCTTATAATGTGGGTTTGCCACCGATCCCCGGGTCTGCGCCTTCAATTATGTTGGCAAGAAGAAATCCCTTCGATATTCCCTACGACCCCAATGAAGAAAAACCTGATCTTAAGGGAGATACCTTCCAGCAAGAGTTTGAGACATTTCATCAGAGGGATACTTTCTTCCGCAGGCATGAGAGTTTCAGTTTGGGACCCTCGAATTTAGGGGTTCCGAAGCAAGAGAAGCAAGACTCCAAGTGGAGGCCCTTTTTTGTGCCTGAACAGTTTGCTTCAGAGGGAACAAGTTTCCACCCTATGCAAAGACAGTCAAGTGAAGTAAGTGTAAGTGACTCGAAGGTGAGTTCTGTTCCTGATACAGAATCGTTGTCTTCAAATGCTGATCAAGATGACAAGAGGGTGAGTGAACATGGTTCTTCTCAAGAAACAGAAGGCATTTCCAACGTAGACCAAGCTTCCCTGCTTGTGGAACACGGAAGCCAATCTTCTGAAGATGTAGATTCTCACGATATCGAAGATGTTGAGGAGAATGTCACTCCCCGTGAGGAGATTGAGATAATTTTAGGTAATGTAGATGGTCAGCACGAACTGGAACCAAGTTTGCCTGAAAATGGAGAACCAACTGATTCTTTGCATACAAATGTGAACAAAACGCAACAGAAAGTAGAAGCAGCTGAAGAGGAGTACAGCAGTGGATCAAGCTCGTCGTTCTTCTCAGAAGTGAATGAAACGGTTGCTGATGTGAAACAAGAACTAGTGACTTCAATAGATGATCTCGGTGAGGAACCTCGCCTTGCTCGGGGGCATCCAGTCGAAGACTTGGATATTACTCTCACAGCCAAGGCAGAGGATTGTAATCCGCATAAGGAGCCTGTTTATGATTCTAGCCCGCCAGCAGTTGAAAAATACCTGTCTTTCAAGTCTATTTCGTCTGACGTGCTAGGTGATGTGTCTGAAATGAGTTCGACTCCAGAATCGACAAGGTCAGCCTGTGTTGACAAAGAGTCTGAAGGGCCTGGTGAGATGCCGAAAGAGGAACCCAACTATGAAGAGATGTTTGCCGCTGCTTCACCGGTATATGCTGAAAATGAAGATGAATTGAGCTACAGGGAAGTTGCAGAGAATGCTGAAGAAAACGCCTGCGAAGGTGAACAGTCCATAAATGATGAATTGGGTAGCAAGAGTGAATCTCTGGTCCTTAGTACTGTGTCTGAGCATGTCCTAACTGGTCCAAGTTTGCCTTCATGGAGTGAATCAATGGGGGAGGACAGGATACGTGAGCATGATTCTCATAATGAACACAGTCACCTTGTGTCCTCGAGCTCTGATGCTGAGAGCCCCAGCTGGATCCAACAAAGTGAGGGTGAGAGGCAAGACTCTGAACAGGAAGAAATCCACTTATCATTCGGGGATGGACCATCCGAAGCTGTTTCGCCATCGAAGGATGACTTCGTGCATCATGAACAGCTTCAAGTCAACTCAAGTGCTGGTTCGGAGACCAGTAATACATGTGCCCAACATCCGTCTGAGCACGTGGATATGGAAATTTCTCTTAACCAGCAAGTAACTTTTGATGACTTAGGTTCTTCCACACCGGATAAGCAACCAACTTCTCTGGCATATGAGACTGTTTCTGTTATCCATGAATATTTTTCTTCCGTAGAACCTGAAAGCACGAAGGAGCATTCATTTGACAAGGAGGATATTACCCAGAATGTAGAAAATCAAGTTCAGTCATCAACATCCAATGCAGTGAAAGATGCTGGTGTCTCCCAGGATTTGGAGACAAAGGCATTTTCTCACGGTTCTACATATGATCTGATGCCCAGTGAAAACAAGCTGTCGGAATTGGAAAGGCAACAATCCTGCTCGGATAAAACAAGTCAACCATCTATTGATGACCCTAAGGGGGAAGAGGTAAGCTGTCTGACGCATTTAAAGTTTGTCCAAATATTGTTAAATGCTGTTTAGTGGGTTTCAATTGTATTTCTTGGGAAGATGATTAAGATAGCCAATTAAGTATGTCGCAAGATGTAAAAGTAAGTTATTCCTGCCTCAAGATGTCTATCGAAAGAAGCCTCGATCAGAGGAAGTTTGAACTCACGAATATCATTCAGTTGCTCATCCAACTTTGAAACGGTTAGGCCCCAACACATGCTATAACTGCTTTGTACTAAAGCTGTACATGAAAATCTGAAAGTACTAAGATCTGGGCAAATCGTTATAACCATATGAAGTACAAATTGCTGTCAAATTGTAAATCTAAAAGACTTGAAAGCTATTATTTCCAGATTACTTCCGTCTCTGCCATTATATAGGCAAAGTTCTTTTTGATTGCCGCACCATCCCAACCATAAAGAATTAGGACCTCGAGAGGCTCTGCCCAATTCTGCCTCAGCATCCTATGAATTGTTTTCAACTGTTATTTATCTGCTGAGTAGAAGTATCTGTAGCGAATCTCCTAAATTGCTAAAATCTAGTCAACACTCACTTGGAAGATGAATGTTTGAAGTTGAAATGTTAATAAAAATTGAATTAAGGTAGGACTTCCCACCTCTCGATTTAACAAGTATGCAAAGCAACACCTAGGTCTGGGTGTGGATAGGACCTTCAATGAGTAGGAATGTTATGATTACAATTATCATTTTCTCCAACTCCAGTAAGGAACACCATCATTCTCGGAGTCCTTATTTCTTTTGTCACATTCAAAACATATTTCGTATGATTTAGGCAGTCATCTAGCTCATTCCGTTAATTTTACATATAAAACCAAATGCATCTTCTTCAGCATTAATTCTATGGTTTGGATCAACATTGTGAATAGCTGCAAATCTTATCTGCAAAGGTTGACCAATGTTGTACCAAGCTCACCCTTGAAAGGTTTGATTACATAGCCCTTCTTGTCCCTTAAATGATTCCACTGGCTCTGATCCATTTGACCACAAATCCATTTAAGGCTTCTTTTTCCCTTATTATCATGGTCACAATAAAATTTAACTGTTCTCCATTGTACACGCTACATCACTTTTTGCCGCTTAATTTTTTGTTATTTTGAATTTGGCTAGTTGTGATAAAAGTTCTATTCAGTTCTCAAGTGTAGATGGTTTTTCTTCTGACTTGATTCCATTTTTCTGTTAATCTTTTCTGATGGTTCATGCAATGCATCAACTCTTTTGGTTCCCTGCACATGGTGTTTGATGTTTGTCGATTATTGTGGATGTCTAAGGTCAACTTTACAATCATCGTAATCTGAAGAATCCATGTTGAGGTGTCAGTCAACGAAACTAATTACATGTCATGTCCTTTTGTAGGTACTATCTGCGACAGTGGCAGAGCCTGTTGTAGAAATAATCAGCCCTAAGGGCATAAATGCCGATGAAATGTGTGATGTCGAAGAAAAGACTTTAACAGATGCCTCTACCTTGACTCGGGATTTTACCTCAAATCCAGATGAGACACTTGAACATGTATCGCGAGCTGCCGAATCAAGAGCTGTCAATGCTCATGATACTGAAATTGGAAGCCATGGTCAAGTCGTGACATATTCTGAACAATTAGCAGAATCGTTTGAATCTCATGTTTCTGGTGAAAGCATGCATGAAGATGTTGATGATATTAAGGAGATTGATGAAGAGTTTTTGAGGGAGCTGGATAATGTCGGGGACTTCAGAGTCAAAGAGGCTGATGATGATTCTCTTAGTTCCAAGCTTTTGCCAGGGGAAGCCAGCGTGGGAACTGATGGGAGTGAGTTGACGTACAAAGACCAAGAACCAGGCGAAAGTAGCTTAAAGTTGCCAGTTGTTGAAGCTAGATCTATTGAAGATGTCACAATGACCTTCAGAAAATTGCATGAAGGAGGAGATCTTGTTGAAGCAATCCTATCTTGTCCTATTGTTAATGAGCGAAGTCTCAATGACTCAAATATTGAAGATGAAAATAATTCAGCTTCACCGATTGATGAAGCTAGATCTCTCCAGGAAACCCACATTAATACAGAGCATATCTCGGAAGAAAGTGAGGAAGAGCAGCTGAACATCCACAAGAGTAAACCAGCTGAACCTGAAGCTGATGAGGGGAGTCCCGCCAAGGTTGTTGAATCTGATAATGTGGAATCTGGTGTTTCAGAGACTAAAAGTGTTTCTTTTGATGAACCAACCGGCTCAAAGGAAATTGAGAGCGACCCAAGCCTACCTGTTCTGGAAGTAAGAACCCTTGATGATATTACAATGGCCTTTAGGCAATTAAATGAAGGAGCAAATGTTGAGGAAGTCATTGTGCCCAGTTCGATCGGAGTCCTGGAAGATGTGGATGGATCAGAGCATATAGGAGGAATGAATTCAGGCCTGCACGTTGTTGAAGCAAGATCTCTAGATGATATCCTTGTCATTATGAATCAAAACTCAGAAGATAATCAAGAAGTCATGGGCAAGGATATGCATTATGAAGATACTGCAGTGAGCTCTATGAAGACAACTGAGTCCCAGTCTGTTGAATTCAGTGTTCGAGAAAGTCGAACGGTCTCTCTTGATAAATCTGTGGGATTGGATGAAATAGAGAGCAGCTTAAGCTCCCCAGTTCATGATGAAAGATCTGTTGATGTCGCAATGCAAGTTAAGCAATTAGCTGAAGGAACGGATGTTGAGGAAGTCGTCCATCTCCATTCCACCGCCAATCAGCAAGGCATTGACGAAATAAAATCAAGTTCAGGCCTGGAATTTGAAAAGAGTTATTCTGGTGCTGACCATATTACTGTGAAGCAAAACCCAGGAGATGTGCAGAGAGGGCTGCCTGAGGACATCCACTCTGAGGAAAAGTCAACAGTTGCTGAAGCAGTGACTGAAGTTTCTTCTACAAATACAATCGAGTCCAGCAAGACCCACTCTGGTGTTCAAGAAACTCCCGCTGTTCCTCTTGAAAAAACCAAAGATGGTTTTGATGGTCCATCAGATGCTTCTAACTTGGCCTCAGTCAGTCCAAGAGGTAAAGCGGTAAAGCATCACAAGTCAAGCTCCAGCTCTAGCTCCAGCTCAAGTTCTGGCTCAAGTGATTCTGACCAAAGTTGAGGATTCAGCAAAAAAGAGTCGAAAAGTCTTGCGGTCATTTGATTTTGTTCGTGGTCTTTAAGATGCTCGTTTTTTTCTCTAGTATTATTCTTGCTTCCTGAAATTGTTAGTGGTAGGTGCATTTCAGGTCGCTGCCGTATTGACTGGTTGCTTACCTCAAGAAATTTTTTTTTTGTTTGATTTCTTGAAAGTTGAGAGTGAGCAGTTTGAGGCTTTTCTGCGTTTTCTTTTCTGGCCTGTAATTTGAGGCTTTTCTTGAGAGCTTCTTGTTATGCATTTGTAAATTAGTACTTTGTAGAATCTGCAAATGATTGCTTGTACATGTACTGCTTGCTTACCACATTTCCTTGAGTAAGAAGTTGATTGATTGTGATTTTTTTACACCGTCTAACGGGCTTGTGAGCCAAAATAAGTCGAAAACATTGTGCAGTTGGACTCTGTTTATGACCGCTCCTATTTGACATTTGGTTATTTATCTGGCTGCAAACTGTAATTTAGCGAGCCTGAGATGCATCTTGCTACCACTGTTTCATCTAGATGCTCTTAATGCATTTAACAGGCTATTTCAGATCTCTTTGTAAAATTTAACCTTTTCACCAGACACCAACATAAACATAACATGTTACCAGCAGCCTTTCTAGTTTTCTTGTTAATCTACTGCTGAATTGTTTACCAGCATGCATGGAAAGAAAAGACGCATTTGAGGATTGTCATTATCGGTCACTTGTCTATCGTCATCATACAAAGGAGCGTTGGAAAACGAAAAATAAATATAATGACCATAAACTGCCTAGCTTGTCCATTTATACCAATTTGCAATTGTTGCTATATCTTCTCAAAGTAAAATCTAAGATATATAATTGTTCAAGTAAAACAGCAAGAGTGCAGTGATGATATGCACGTATGAAACAGCACAAAATACCTCTTCATACAATCCAATCCTCCTGCAAGAATCGAATATCATTGAAATAGCATCCAACAGAATATTCAATGACATGTCAAGACTAATGTACACAAAGTAAAATTACATGTACGGATGAAGCTACTCTGAAATTAGACTGCCTTCCAAGCAGTAGTCTACACTACCGTAAAAATTCGTATACAGAACCCTAAGAAGAAAAGCATAACGCTTTTACTGCTTTTGCTTCTTCTGCAATGGCTCTACTGAACTCCCAGCCTGCCAAAGAATTGTCAAATGTTGGCAAAGTAAACTTCGTACCTTTGTATTGTCATTTCGTATGCAAAAAGCATGAAACTAGAATCTGTTCTAACCTATCCTACTAAGGCTCACAGTAAGATGATTTGTTTGTATAACACCAATTATTAATCTTACTCTTTCGGTGTGTTTAGAGCTTATCGGGTTCATCCTGCTTCATTAATGTAAAAGGAATTTCGAGTATTGCCGTAAAGAAGGAAGGGTTCATTGCGCACATCGTCCACAGAACATAGTATTAACCACAAACGAAGCTTCCAACCGATGTTGAAAAAATGATATCTTTGTGGAACTTTTCTTCTAGCATTGAAAACCTATGTTTTTCCGTGCCAGAATCTAATTCAAACTTAAATCAGGTGTCCTTATGAACCTTGCTAAGAATGACTCAGTAGTTCAGACATATGCAGACATGAGAAGACATAATCCTCCCAGGAACCATCAGTCTTGAGAAAATAAAACAAAAGTTTTCACTATATCTAAAAGGAATGCAAGATTACTTCAAGAGACAGAAAAAGCTGTTCCCAAACTCTCTTGATTTTAACATGGGCTGCAACATATTGAAAGGTATTTTATCGAGCATGTCAAATTGGATATTTGATCTACACCCCCCAGAACCCTACCCAAAGGGGAAAAGACTAGTTCTTCATTTGGAGTGAGTAGAGAGGCACATTCCTACGCTCATCAGAGGTGTATCTTTGTTACTAACACTCCACTTTGCAAAGAGAGAGCCAAAACTACATATTTGAATGCTCCAACTTTATTTTTATATATATTTGTTTTATTGGCAATTTGTTTTCTTTTGAGGAAATTGGATCCTCCCATACATGGTCAAATGGGCATGGAGACAAAAGATTAATGTGCCTACCATGCTAGAAAGTTGTTCCTTGATGTAAGCCATTGATCTCAACATTGCTTCGAGTGTTTCTCTCGTAAGCTGAAACTTCACTTCCTTTTCTCTTAAAGGAGACTTGGAGTGGTCTTGCAACTGCAAATAAGAGCAATAAAGCAAAGTCAAATGCAGCATGATAACAAGGCTAAGTCACTGAGGTTGAGAAGCAAATGACTGCACCAAAATATGGCCTTGTAGAGCTTGCCGCTGGGGAGAAAAATAGGGGAACATTACATTTTACCAATTCCCAGAAATATTTGAGAGAAACAAATTTGCAGTTGGTGTCTAACAGATATTTTGTGATTCAACCATTCTCTAAACACTCACTACCTGATTCCCACAGAAGAAGTCTTGCTTTCATCACATCCAAGTGCAGGACATTCGCTTGCATGATCTTTTGATGTTACTAAAACTTTTCAAAGAAAGGTCCCACAATGCGGCAAGATAACCCACGAGAAAATGCTTATACGTAAAAAGGGACATGTTCTTTTTCAGTCTTTCCCCAGGAAAAGCTCAGTTGTGAAGGATCATGCAGCGTGCTGGCCTCTCATCATGCTGAGTGAACCATTGATATAATCAAGATAGAATCACTCATTTCATCATCATACCTTCAGGGTGACTGCAGCCACCTTATTGGCTGATGCTTTTTGCTTCTCGATCCTCCAATTCATTTCACCAAACCGAGGAACAGTAGCCTATATGAATGGGAAATCAGTATCAATTCCTATATCTAGAAGAGAACAATTCGAGGCTCGAAGTGTCATGCCTCATATGAGAGAGAGAGAGAGAGAGAGAGAGAGAGAGGTTCTTTAATTATTCTGAATTAGCAATTCTGCACCTTATGCTAGTAGAGATTTATGGAAGTAACAGAGGAACATGCAACTTGCATCATTTTCATTTTCCAATTGGTAGTTTAGGTCAAAATCTGATCCGTAGAACACTTTCATTCATCGAAAGAAATTATAAAGGGCTAAGGAAAATTCGTGTTGGTTTGCACTGCAGCTTTCGCCATCCTTTTGCAGCTGCAGCGCTGACTATGAATTTAACTGGACGTGCATTTAAAATAACGTTTTGATTGTCTGACGACAAGCATATGTCCCTTTTACCGTATTTTCAGGAGCACCAACATCACGTTGGAGAGAGATGGGTGCCGACACGTTAGAGTCAGCAGTGATTGTTGCATTGCCACCACCGCCTCTGCAGTTGAAGTCGAAACACGGATCCGCTTGGCGAGGCTGAGAAGATGCTGAAGTTTCTGAAGATGGGAAAGTTGTGAAAGTAGGTGGCATGCTTGATTTGACCTGATAGGAAATGCTGGTATGCGGTATTGAGTGCTGGACAAGAAAAACACATACAAGTTAGAATCGCGAGCTGATAAGCCGGAGAATCGCGATGTAAGCAACTAAAATCATGACAAAAAACTGCAGGAAGTGCAGTTTCTTGCGAACAATATAATCCATGACAAGAATATGCTCACACTGCAAAAACAAACCGTCCGAGATTTTATTCGAATCTCAAATCATTAATGGCAGCGGACCGCTAACACACAAAGCAGACACCAGCACAAACGCTCTCAATTCTATTCTGCAAATTTCACACGGAAGTCCTAGCGGGACGAAATTTAAAGTTTCAATGCAGCAAGGATGATATTAGCCAACTATCACATAAGTACCATTTGCCTAAGCTTAAAGTACTTCTTCAAGTTCTCATCACTCAAACATAGCAATCTGAGAAGCTGCAAAAAGAATAGCAGCTAAAAAAAACCCCCCATTTTTCCAAGAACTCAAGGGAGCAAACATCTTGGGACACCTGCACAATCTAAACCTGTCACCATAATACTAAATCTCAGCGTGAAATCCTTCTTTTCCTTCACCTGCTCTCTAGAATTTTCCTCCCTCCACTGATTCTTATGCTTCAGCAGCGCTGACACGAGAAGGCCCTGCAGACTAGCCGGTAAGTCGGGCGGAAACAGCTTCAAGAGATCGCTCTCGCCGAAGTCGTCGTTCGCGCATTTCCTGATGAGAGAACGCAGGCACGCCGAAACCTGCGGAAAAACCCACGTTGAAACTGAGTTCGAGACTTTTCCAGAATTTCTTGCTTCCGAAGCGCGCATCGAACCAGGGTCATTACTCACGGGGTCGACTTCGGAAGCGGAAGGGAGGCCGAGCAGAGACTGGATGTGGGATTTGTCCGGAGGCCCGAGGCCGGTCCTTCTGGTCCGCCAGAGAGCGGCGAGTATGGCGTCGATTGCTTCTTCAGAGGTCGCGGCGATGGAGAGCTTGTGGAGTTGCAGGTAGAGGGTTGTGTCGCCTCCCCCTTCCATGGTCTCTGTTTTCGAGCTCGTCTTCTTGCTTTCCCTTTCGTTTTTGGAAGTATAGCGGATGAGACTGGTCAAGCGTTCCTGAAGTTTGAGCTTCAACAGTCAGCCATTGATGCCGCTCTGTTTGCACCTGTTGCGTTTCGATTGGATTGAAAACCGCCATGAATGATTGAGTTTTGCTTGTTCCAGCTTCAAAATCTCCATCCGATTTGAAGGGAAAATTCCCAAAGTGTCCTCGATTTTTTTGAATAAGGGCGAGAGGTGAAGTGTTAATCTCACCGATTGATAAAGAACGTTTTCGACATTTTCCTTTTTTTTTTTTTTCTTTTTCTGTTTTCTTTTTTGCTTTTCGTCAATGGACGGTCTCAGGCGATGACCGGCAATACTCAGAGAAGGCCGGGCAAGTCCGCTCTTGAAAGTCACAAGGGAGGGGCGGTCTCGCTTGGGCAACTCTCGTCGGTCACAAGCCAGGTCGACCCTCCTAGATTTGGGCGAGGGTCACCTTGTCCACAACTAGCAAGGACTTAGGTGAGACGACCCTCACCAGCGGTCGGCAAGGGCTAGGAGGTCCTCACTCAAGACTCGGCATAATTGAAAAGTTTATGATTAAATTAATAAAGTTGAGGTTTATAATTGAATTGGCCGTCGCATAATAAGTTTATGACTTTTTGGATAATTTTCCCAAAAAAGTCGTAAGGCCAATTTTTCAATGGCCGCCCTTCTTACTTGGGAAGAGGAGGTAAGAAGGGAGAGGTGGGCGTTCGATTATTGGGGGACGTTTGGTTTTAAATATGGGTCACGACTCTCACGTCCTGTGCGAGGAGGCGCGATAAAAAGTTTGAAAGTAAGTCGAGAGGTAAGGTAGGATAGACCAAACAAAGGAAAAAAATTCTTCATGGCCTTAAAGCCCAACATAGGCCCATTTATCTCAACAGCGAGGCCCCCAATTGCCTCCTCCCCTCGCGGAGGATCATCGCGTCTCTCCGTTTCGTCGTCCTCGTTTCGCACCCCCACGCACACAAGCAGCGACCCCCGCGCGGAAGCAGAAGAATAGCACCGCGCCAGTCGGGCGAGCTCTCAAAAAGAAAACAGTGAAAAAACAAGAAGAAGAAGAAGAAGAAAATTCAGGGACGACGAGAAGAAGGGCCAAAACAAAAGCCATGTCGAAGCGGAGCGGGAGCGGAAGCGCTCCGTCGCCTCGCGAGCGGAGTCCATGACGCGAGCCCGGAGGCACGCGACTGATCTCGACGGCGGAATCGCTTGAAGCAGCCGGACGGACAATCGGTGAGCTCGGCGATTCGCTGCCGGGTTTTTTTTTTTCTTTCTAAAATTTTCTTTTCGCGGTCGTGTTTCGTGCGGATTGATTCGCGGGGACCGGAATTGCTTGTCCGGGAGAGCTCGAAATTTTTTCCTTTTCCCGAATTGCGAGGCGGGTCGCTCTGTCCTAGGGTTTTTTTTTGATTCGGAGGATGGCTGTCTCTGGGTGGGATCGTGTTAGGAAATCTTTCGATTTCTTCCGCGCGGATGCTTGCTTTTGCCCTGCTTTTGTTTCGCCTGGATTGGGGATTCTGTCGTTGCATGTCAGCTCCGCTATCATGGGGTTTGAAATTGATTCGGGCCCGCCTTTGTTTTTTTTTGTTTTTTTTTTGAAATTTCGTGTCTTCCTAAGCGTGAGTAGCCGTGCAGGATATCGACGGAATAATCAGAGAGCAGAATGAGCAGCGACGATTTTGATGCGCAGGCCTTGGCCGAGAAGCTGTCTAAGCTCAACAACTCGCAACAGAGCATCGAATGTAACTAATAAAATTCCTGTTCTCCATGCACTTTCAGATTATGTCCCTCGTTAGCTGTAGACGCGATGGGAGAGTAGCACTGTGATGAAAATGCCGCCTGATTCTCAATGTGCTGTTATCAGTGTATGTTGCTTGTTGGTAGTTTTAGCCGAGTGTGAGCTATGGTATTCTCCCTTTCTGTTGAAGGATGTGGGTGTGATGGTACAGGGTAGTTGCGGAGATAATGTTATATCATCCTTGCATTCCCTTTTGTTGTAAAACGGGGCAGAGATATTCAGTATCAGTTTTCTTATGGACATCCTACTTATCTGGAAGGGTATACTGTATGGTATGAGCATGGTTTCAACTATCACATCACATGTACCTGTATGGTACGTTGGTCAAGCTAGAGAAGAATTTATTGTTATGGATTAACTTTTGAAATAAGTCTCGATAAATGGGATGATCTGGCCATGGTTAGATTTACCACTCATAACATTGATTAGTACAATTAACTCATTGCGAATACAGGACAAGCAAGTTTCCCGAGGGAGTATTGGTATTTAGTTCTTGCAAACAGTTACAGTATGCTGGTTAGAAAATTTTGAAGGGGCCAGAGGAAATAAATATTTGCCGTGTTTGTTATAATATAAGTTTAAGGGCATCATCAACATTAGACATCCTTGAAGTCACAATATAATAGGATGGGGCATTGGACAGCGACTTTCATTTGCAGTCTAATTTTCTATGGCTTCTGTATATTAGTTTAGGATCATCATTGGAGAAGAAGTCTGAATTTTTAGAGATATAATTATTAGTATCTCTTATACAACACCAGATGAAATAACATTTTTTTTAAAGGAGAAGAGCTTTTTTATATTTATTTTTATATAGGTTCTTACTGGCTGCCATTCCATTTAACTTAGAAGGAACTCGGTGAAGTCATCGTCAGTTTTTCTGCATTTACTTTGGAGATGGTCCTAGGGAGGAGAATGGCTTAGAGAACCGACTCTGTGAAGGATTCATCATCTAAATGATCGAAAAAAATGTAATTTATATGGAAGATGTAAGAGTCTCCACTCTTTGAGATGTGGATGTCTATAGTGTGTAAAAGATGATAGAATTTATAGAAGCTTTTGCAGAGGTCAAGCTAATCTTTTCCTTAGACTGTTCTTTTTTTTTTTTTTTTTTAATCTCAATGGGGCCGAGGAAGTGTAGTGGCCTGTGGAACCTCTGATCAATATGATATTACTAGCACTCTAATACTGTTCAAAGTCGTCATCATATTATTCGCTCCTAGCTATGGCAAATGAACTAGTGATGGCTTGGCATTGGCAATGGGCTACTTATAGATTTAGAAAAGCATTTCTTACTTTCTGCATCCACCTTTATGTTTTGGATCAAGATATGAGAAGATATATAACAGATTGATGGTAAATAAGAAAGCTACTCTGGAGACTGATTCTCTTTGTTGGTTGTTTATTAAGTATGTTGTTTGTATGTGTGGAACACACTTCAGGTGCAAGTGTCATAAACTCTATTGTGTAGGTGATCACTGTCCTGGTTTTGCCCTTCATTAGATGAGGAATGTTTAGTTCCCCTTGGAGCCTTTAACACAATCTTTTCAGCCAGAAAAGAAGTAATTTGTGATAGTTAACTTACGTGCACGACTAATAGCAAGTCAGCTAGCCATTCAGGTAGGGCCCCTATTATACAGTTAGGCTCATGGCTTCTTTTAGCTCAAGCAACCAAATGCAGCAGAAGTGACAGCGTAGGTACTAGGGACGTTATTGCACACCCAGTGTATGGATGCTACTTCTGATTGAGTTTACGTTATGGTCCCAGTTTTTACGAAGTGCTGACCGTTCCTTCATTCTTTTACTTATGTGCTCTCACTATTTTTAGGTCTTACTCTTTGATTTACTGGTATCTCGCTTCTTGTTTCTTATGCATTCCTTTTTCATTGTATCAGCCTTGTCCCAGTGGTGTGTTTCTCACAGGAAGAAGGCCAAACAAATTGTTGAAACATGGGATAAATTATTTAATTCTTCTCAGAAGGAGAAGTGTGTTTCTTTACTTTATCTAGCCAATGACATTCTGCAAAATAGTAGGAGAAAGGGTAGTGAATTTGTGAATGAGTTTTGGAAAGTTCTACCTGCAGCGCTTAAGCATGTCTATGGAAATGGAGATGAACATGGAAAGAAAGTGGTGACCAGACTGGTGAGCCTTTTTAAAAGACACATGTTGGTGTCTCACATTTCTTATTTTCCATCAGATAGTATTTGAGTGATGGTATATCATATGTGCAGGCATAAGTGTAGGTGATCACTTGGTCGGCTAATGTTTGAGAGCTTTTCTGATTATGTTATTTAGCAGGAGTATTTTTAATTCTGTCTGAACAATTTTGCTTTAGTTTCATAAGTTTCTATTTTATCCTACATTTGTTCAGCTAACTAATATACGGAGAGTGAGAGTTTTCCTTTTGTCTAGGCTTTGTATATAAGTGGTCTTCCTTCACCTATTAATTAGAGTTTCTAGGTTGGACTTTTCAACACACGACATAGATTCATCTCAGAATAAGGGAAGAATGACCCTTTTGGGTTTTCTAGACTCTTGATAGTTGCATGTACGAGGACAAACATTGATGTATATCATGAAGAACTGGCAGTAACAACTCAAATGATGGATTCAACATCTAAGGTTAAGAATTTTAAAGGGTCAAGCATTGGGTTATTTTTATGAGGTTAATTTTGACATTGTGAATTGTCAAATTTGGATAGAATGTACTGGAATTAACCATGTAGTCCAACATGGAGCCTGTCTGTTTTTAAGTTGCAAAGCCAGTAGACGCATATTTCTTAGTCAATTGCAAAAAGTGTGCTGGTTGTTATATTCCATGTTGTCGGGGATCATTCTTATCTGCTGCATCTCATTTCTTTCTTCAGGTTCCACTGAAACATGCATTATGCAACAGATTAAATGAAGCTATTTATAATTTTATGAAGCTCAGTGCCAGTTGGGCTCAGTCATATCGGTTCATAGTCTCTTATCCGCCATATATATGTGTATACTGGTGGAGTTGGACTGTTGAAACATTTGAATGCATGTTGAGTTGATATTTATCTCAGGCATACTTTCTGAATATCTTGATTATTGTAACTCTAAGCTTTTGCATTAATTGGAGCACATTTACTAGTCATTATGTCTGTAAGCCCATTCTGGTGGCGATATGGAATGGCATGGTTGTCTCCGGTGAACATTGCTGTGGCAGATGCTGTTGCTTGGCGAATGTTGACTCTAGTAGATGTGTTGGTGGGAGAATGTCTGCATGGATGAGTTGATTGAACCTCAATTCTGAAGCTTCTGATCATGACAGGGCTTTTGTGCCAAGGTTTTGAATGAGCTGATGCTAAAACCTGATATATGGAGATTACTTCGATGTTCTCCATCTTAATGTCAAAGAGACTTGAGTGAACTTTTTTTTCTATTTCAGGAGTTTTCTCCTTTTGGTATTCCATAAATTTGGGTTAGAACTAAACACTTTGGGAGATTATACAATTATATATGACTGTACTTCCTTTATTTTACTTGGAAGAAGGTGTCTCTCTTGTCAATTGTACACCACTTGTTACTGAGGCTGTTAGACTGATGCAGAATTAAATGCTAAGATTTGGTTAGAGAATGTTGTATGTGCTTCTGGAATAATTGGAGAAAAAATTTACAAGAAGATTGTCTTGACTTCTTATGCGACTCCACTTGCTCTTGCTCTTTTCTTGTATTAACCACAATTTGGAATTGTTGTTCAACTCTTTTGGTGAAAATGTCCTCTACACAGCTATTGTAAGAGTGATACTGCTCAATGGAGGAGTTTTATTTGTTATTTGGGGCCTGAAATTGGTAAAATGCTGACACTAATCGAATGTTTGAAACATCGTCAACATGCCCGTTTTGCCCTTTATATTCTAATCACATCGGCCATGATGTGGTCTATCCCCTTGGTTGGGTTGGGGAGAATAGGTTTTTGGTTGCTTGAAAAAACCCTTTGGGTAGATGATTGAACCCACTACTTCTGAAGATCAAGAGTTATTTACTTAGTTAAAAAGGATAGGTTGTGAACCAGTCCTCCTGGTTTCTTAGGCTTTGTGTCCCTCTTCTCTTCTTCAGGCTGAACAGCCATTATCCTTCCAACCTTGCCTACCTCTCTTGAATTGAATTTCATTCTTCAAAATGCCCCTTTCTTCTTTGAAGGTAGTCAAGGCTCCTGAGACAAAAGCTTGTTTGCCAAGTCCGAATTGCCACCTTCTTGTATGACAGCTCTTTTTGATGCTAGCAATCGCCTTTGACCCTTTTCCGCTTTTTTCATTTTCTAATTATTCTACTTGAACAAGAGACTTTACCTTTACTTAGAGAGGGGCTTGTATTATGATAGTCTAAGAATAATTTTGTTGGATTGGTTAGACCAATAAAATAAAGTATTTAGGCTCCATCTACTTATATAGATAATGTGCTAGTCCAGATGTGTATAGGTAGGTAGTAAGTACGTGATGTGTAGATTTGCTTTCTTGTGAATGATTTCATCAGGGGTTGCAAGTTTCATCTCCTTGGTGCTTTTCAATAAATCTTGTTTACTTATCCAAATAAAGAGATTTTTTAGTGCAATTTGAGATAATTGAGATGTTTTCTTTTTCAAAGACACAAATGTTGAGAAGGTGCAATTTGGTAAACATTCCCATTTTTACCTCTATGAAGGTTTTTATTGGGCATTTTTATGGTGCTTAAACACTGATCTTCAAACTGAGGGGTTATTTACTTCTACTATTTTGCGAATGAATATCCACATCTATGATAGAGGTATAAGTTTCTAATGGGATTCCCAAGTTCTCACATGTTTATGCTCAGGTTCTCTGTAATTTCATTGTTAGGTTTGTTCTGAAGGTGCTAAGCTCCGTAAATATATATCTTTTAATCACCAATTTTATCTGGCTTACTTCACTTTTTTTGCTTCCTTTTTACCTGTTGGAGCACTGCTTATTTAAAATGCTGTTGATTCTTTTTAAGAATGTCTTTGCCTTTTCTTCCTTTATGGCTTTACTTTTACTTTTAATCCAAATTGATGGTTCAATTGGTTTCGAACGTGGTAAGGTTGATATATGGGATGAAAGGAAAGTTTTTGGTTCGCGTGGGCATGGCCTTAAAGATGAGATGCTAGGAAAAGATCCTCCTCCCGTGTCTGTGAGCAATGGAAAGAGTTCGAATCCCATTAAAATTGTGAAGAGGGATGCTAGCTCAGTAAGAGTGGTGAGTATGGAGTGATCCTTTTAGCATTCATTTGCAGCATACTTTTGGCCCATTGTTCTTGACTATGTTCTTGGGCTTTTAATTTCAGAAATTAGCTGTTGGAGGTCTGCCAGAAAAAATCCTAACTGCCTATCAATCAGTATTCGATGAACATTCTACTGAAGAGGCTGCTTTAGACAAATACAGTGCTGCAGCAACCCAGGTGGAAAAAATTGAGGAAGATGCTGAAAGTAACTTGACTCAAGGTGAGATCCTTGCCATTTATCTTTTAGTATTTTAATAGCAACAGCATCATCTTTTTGTGTCTTGTTGACTATCTTTAGATTGACAGCAGATTAATCTGACCATGACTAAGGGACATCTGCATTGTTTTTCTCGTATTATAGCCTTTCGGTTAGGAAATGCAATTTTGTGAAAGTTGCTTGTATTAAATGGGGAAGGGGAGGCTTAAGAAAGCATAGTAAAGAAGTGACACGTGATCTTGACATGACCCATCTTATGAGGATATCATTCTAGATTGAACAATTATGGGGAAGGAAGTATTCATGTTACTAGAAATGGTGATGGATATGTAGAGCAATCCAGTCCGAGCATCGAACTTGGGCATCCTTTCTGTCTGTCTGTCTGTCTGTCTGTCTGTCCGTCTGTCTGTCTCTCTGTATCTCTGTATCTCTGTCTCTCTGTCTCTCTGTTTCTTTCTCTCTCTATGGGTATGTGTATCTCTCAATCTATATCTCTATCGTTCTCTCTTTATGCTAGGGTCGTTGGGACCCTTGCTGGAGGCTGGGCAGTGGCCAGTGCAGCGCTACCCCTCTCCCTCTGCTCTGTGTGTGTCCCATGTGTCTGACTATCTATCTAGGTTTATTTTTTTCTTTTTGGGTTTATAAATCATCTTTATGCTCTGTTTGGGAAAGGAGAGAGTGAAGGGAATTGAAAATTGGACTGGACAATGACAAAAATGTTCAAATTTTTGTGAGAGGAGAGAGAGGGAAATTTAAAATTTTGTCTCTAAATTGTCATTTCTATACCTTTCTCTAGTTCTCCAAACATAGTTTTAGTGTATCATATGTTTGATTATATCAGATGGTGGGAAATCCTGGTATCTGATCGTGTAAACCAGCTTTTACACTTACAGTCTTTTTGTGTGAATAAAAAATTGGAGAATCTGGATACCTCATTCTTAGGCCTGTGGCAGGATATTAAATGAATAGGTACGAATTTTGAGACCAATTGACATATGCGTTGGCAGACAGCTTACTGGCATTTAGAAGATTGGGTTTTGTCCTTTTGAAGCTAAGTGATGGGTTTGATAGCCTCAGGTTGCCTAGCAACGCCAATATGCAAAGGTTCAGGTGGAAGTGATATTGTTTCTCTTAAGGAATGTAGACATCAATAGCTAGCACAATTTAGTGTAAGGCGGCTTGTGGTGGTAATGGATCTGTGGAGTACATGGTGAAATTGTCAGGGGTAATAATAGCTTTGTTTTTTGGGCTAATGCCAGGTGTCATCTGGCTTAATTGGCCCCATTTCCCCAAAATCCAAGATAGGAGCAATGATAACTGCTTTTGGTGGGGTAGGATAAGTCGTCTACCGGAGTGTGTTTCTAGATGTGCTTCTTAAATGGAGGAATCAGACTCTGCTGTGCATTGTCCTCATGGAAAAATAAAGAACTGTAATCCTATCTTTTGTTGATCAGGAAGCCAGCAAGGTTCTGCATTGGTAGAACATCTACAAGATCAAGAAAATATTATTAAGCAGTGCATAAGTCAACTTGAAAATTCTGAAGCAACAAGAGCTACCTTGATTTCCCAGCTTAGAGAGGCGCTTCATGAGCAAGTACATTTTACTACTCTACTTCTATTGTTGAAACTATGTGCCATTTTTGACTGTGTGCTGATCTGCACTTTCCAGGAGTCAAAGTTGGGACATGTGCGTGCTCAAATGCAAGTAAGTATTGCCTCATTCTGCATCTTATGTGTGCCTGTGCTAGCTAATGCTGATGATCTTGTTGTTATAGTGTCCTTACTCTTTGATACATCATCTTGTAGTCCGTCAGAAAAGGAGAGTTTGTTGCTTTTGGCTTTATGACTTTAATAGATATATTCAAGTTTTGGTCAATAGATTTGTTGTAGTATTGTTGTCTTTGACAAGTAAAACAGCTGTATCTTTGCCCTCTTAGTTGATAAGATCACGTGGGTAGTTTCTCTCTGTTTTCCAGTTGCCTTGACATGGATGGACTAAGTTCAGTAATCTTTTTTGTTGCATAAATATGTAAAGGCTTGATGATTGCTTTGTGTGGCATGGGGTTGATCTTATGGACATCAACCTATCTGTCTTTCCGAGTGACTCTTCATCTTGTAAAACTATTGGATGTGTTCTTGGCTTATACACTTATTGTCTTCTCTTTCTTGAAAGGGTGGGGTTTAGCTGCAGGGTGCCTGGCCAGATGTCATGCATTTGTGAAATCTTTAATCACCAAGATTTACTTTTAGAACAAAAAATTGAATGGATTAGAGACCTAGGTGGCTTTTGTGAAATTTTTCCTCCTACCTTCTCTCTCTATATTCTCTATCTGACAATAGGCCCCACCCTCCTCTAAAATGATAAATCCCAGTCCAGATCTGATCCCTCTCTCACCCTTTTCCCATCTTTTTCTTCTTTCAGGTCTCCCTTTCTTCTCCTTTTCTTCGTCTTATTCTCTCTCATGTCTCATTTGGCTGCTGAACAAGAGAATGAGACAGATCTAGTGAGAGGTGGTGGCTATATCAGAGCGGTGGCGGCTGGGGTTTGGTGGTGGGGTTGAGCTATATCAGAGAGAGAGAGAGAGAGAGAGAGAGAGAGAGAGAGAGAGAGAGAGAGGAGTTGGCCCTTACTGTCTTGTGGACTTGTGAGGGGTGGTGAAGAGAGAGAACATGATGTGAGAGAGGTGAGAGAAAGAAAACTGAATGAAGGTAAAAAAGGCCCAAACAGGTTCCAATCACGTAACTGTGATAATATAAGAAATGACAACCCAATAGCTGGCCGGGCAATACCGTTAGTGCTGGTACCCTGCTGTAGCTAAACCTCACCCTTCTCGAAAGTTCACATTATCAATTTTTGAGTTTTTTGAGAATTATATTGAATTGTTTTATTCTTTTCTGTGTACGATGACGGGGAATGGGCATCTTGTCGCAGCAATCATTTCTCGGCTAGAAATAAATTTGGACCGACTTTAGCAATTGATTCATGGTTATGATGTATGTGCATTTGAGCGGGGTGAATCTGGATGCTGCGAATGTTGGCAGTCATGCCCCACTACACTCTGCCATGCGCAGCCAGACAGTGCCATCTGCGTTTTGCTTTCTGCATTTGGTCTTTCGGCTCTCTGTCATGTAGCCTGTTTCTCATTTTAGATTCACCATAAGTTTACATTACCTCATGTCATGTTATTAATTTTTCTTTCCATGTGTTTTATTTTGTTCATTGATCATTGACCACATACTATTTCAGTAGTTATCTTACATTGATAGTTGACAAGGCTATGCATATGCAGGATGCTCGAGTTCGGGTCGAACATGCAAGTAATTTGCGGAAAAGGCTGATAGCACCCTCTGTTCGTTCACCCCATGGCCCTGTTAACTCATTCTTAGAAAGGCCGAGGATGGAGCAAAGCCTGCCTTCAATTCAACTGACGAGCAACGCGACTCCGCCTCCTCACTCCCAACCTGCGATGCCTTTTACCTCCCTCAAAACTTCCGATGAAGAAAGCAAGAAAGCTGCAGTCGCTGCAATTGCTGCTAAGCTTTCCTCCTCTACATCTTCTGCCCAAATGCTTACCTCGGTACTTTCATCCCTCGTTGCAGAAGAGGCTGCCTCAAAGAATGGTGGCTTGAAGTCCACCTCATTTTCCTCGGCTTTGCCCATCTTTTCGCATGAGAAAAGGCCCAAACTTGAGAAAATGCCTGTTTCCAATTCTGGCAACTCCGATTTGGGAAACTTGTCCTACTTTAGCCCTCTACAGCAGCAATCGGGGAGCAACATGCCACTCGCAACATCAGTGGGCATGCAACCTGCGTCACAATCCAATCAAATGCAAGCGCCATTTGCTTCACCACCTCCCCCGCCGCCACTGCCTTCCAGTCTATCTTCTGCAAACCTATCTGGGAGTCAATATGTCCAATCTGCTGGGATGAATATGATGGCGGGCCTGATTCCTTATGGATATGGAGCGAGTCTACCACCACCGCCTCCCCTACCACCACCACATATCGGTCTGCAGCCCTTGGCAAGGCCTGCCCTGCAGCCACCTCAGCAGCCACACGTGGAGCAACCGCAGCAGCATCAGCAACCTGCCTCTGGGGGATATTATCAGCCACCAGGCCTTGGCTTCTTCGGACAAAGCCATCAACCAGCAACACCGCCAGTACCGAGGCAGTGAATTCTACTTATTTGAGACCAGGGGCTTCCTTTTAAGAGCAAATATTCACGGCAATTCAGTGGCAAAGCCGTTCTTTGGATGAGCGTACTTGAAACTTTCTATATGTCTTGAGGTCGCGATGTTTACAGTGTCGTCTTGTAAATTAGTAGAGGATTAGCAACTGTTGTAATGGGATTAATCGCAACACCCTCCCTCCCTCCCTCTCCAGGACGTCACAACAAAAGTCAGGAAGAAGTCGCAGCTCCAGTGAGAGGAGGAAAGGAGGGGGAGGGGTGGCGGGGGGTTTCGGGGAGGACAGGTGGTTTCCGGGAGGCGCTTGGCCAAAGGAATGTTCAGATATCTGTACTTTAGTTTTAGATGATGAAGTAGCTGGACTGTACTTTTATTCGCTGCTTCAACGATTAGCACTGAATCATGCCAATAAGTTATACTCTCACCGGACCGTCTGCGAAGATGGGTCGATTCTCGGATTAGCTGTTTGACAGGTTCGAATTGGTAATTGCACGTGTGGAGCATGAAGTTATCTTCTTTGGGTCGTCTAACCATTTTGGTTAGAGAACGAGAGCTGTTGTTGGATCATCTCGGGGGGCTTGAAGGGATGTGCCTTTCAAGGTTCAATACTTCATGTGAAGTGGTCGTTGGATGTTCTCAAAGTCCTGATTATAAGCTTATGAAAACTGCAAGTGTGCGAATGCATCCGAGCGACAGTGGATGTTCACGCGGTGTACAATGAAATGAAGAGTTTCGCTTTTACCTCAAGAATGTTTTTATTTTGTGGAAAATGAATGATTTGGAGAATATCTTCCTAAAAATGATTGCATGAATCGATTATCAAAATGAATGAATGAAAAATAATTGTCTTTCAAGACGTAAATTGTTGTAGATAATTAATGTAATTTTCATTTACTAATTATTTTAAGCGATACAAGTTATCATTTTTATTTTCGCGAAACAAACGGAGCATCAGTGTTAATTTCAATTCTATATTGTGGTTAGTAAGATCCGTGATTAGTAGCATCTCTAAATGTACTTTATATGTTAATGTGAAAGCAAACAAAGGTTTAACATGGTCCCTATGTCATGTTAAGATGAGCGAGCAAATCTTGCGATGGTAATTGTGTTGAGATGACAAGAGAAGTGAATATCAGCCGGGAAAGAGAGATAAGGAAGAGAGATAGATCACCGCAATTGATGGTTGCAGGGACTAATGTGCTTCGATTCATTCAAAAGCATCGGGTTAACTAAAATTTGACTCTCTGATTATAATTTTCCAAGCACTCATTTGGTAATTTTGCCAATGCACGACGATTAGTTAAGCTTTCTCGGACGCCTTACAAACATAATATATATATGCGAGGTGTAGGATGAGAAAAGCAAATTGCAAAAAGGGTTAATACCACGGAAAATCCCAAATTGATACATTTGTGACAAATTTACCATCCGTTAGTTCCGGTTAAATTTAATGATTAATTCCACGAAAAACCTTAAACTGGTATACATGTGACAAATTTATCCAAAATTAATTTTTTGACCATAAAAAATCCCAAATTGTGTATAGTTTCCGTTCAATTTTATTGTTAAATTGTTTTGTTAAATGACATGCATGTATCATTTTTGGGTTTTACCCTCCGTTTATCGCAGATATATTGGTTGTGATTTTTTTTTGTATTAATCCAATTTAACAGAAACTAACGAAGGGTAAATTTGTCACAAATATACCGGTTTAGGGTTTTTGGCGGTCAAAAAATTAGTTTGGGGTAAATTCGTCAGAGGAGTATCAATTTGAGTTTTTTGATGGTAATAAAATTAATTTATTGTAAATTCGTCACATGTGTACCGGTTTAAGGTTTTTTGCGGTATTAAGTCTAAATTTAATTAATACCACAAAAAATCACAAATTGATATACCTGTGACAAATGGAGGGTAAAATCCAAAAATTGTACATATGTCAACTGACTTGTGTCATTTAACAAAGCAATTTGACGAAAACTAACGGATGGTAAATTTGTCATAAGTGTATCAGCCTGAAATTTTTTATGATAAAAAATTAATTTGAAATAAATTTATTATAGATATATCAATTTACAATTCTTCGTGCTGTGAATCCATGCAAAAATATAGGATGGAAGTTAAAAAAGAGTATTTCTCAAAAAGACAACGAGTTCTCAAGCAATCGAGAGTCAGCCAAAGGAGGCAAATTTTGGGGGGCTTCTTTGCCAGGTCGGATTTACTTTCAGAGAAGGAGAGAAGAAGAAGACGCGAAGAGGACGAGGATCGAAATTCAGCTGTTTCCCCCTCCCCTTCCTCTTGCTTCGCCATCAAGGAAGGAAAGAAGGGGGGAAACAGAAGCGCGAGAGAGCGAGACGACGGCGACGGCGACGGCGACGGCGACGGCGATCCGTGGACTCTGCAACAGCGTCCGTCGTCAATCTCAGCTTTCAGGTCCCCTCTTCTTCGGCTTCTCCTTCCTCTTCGTTGTCCCATGGATCGCATGCTGTTGTATTGCCGTGATTGATCATGGCTGGAAAAGCCGTGTTCCCGAGACGCCGTCCGATCTGCGGGTTCTCGTTCCTTTTCTTTGCCTGGACTTTCTTCTGATTGCCTTTTTGTTTGCGCATTCGGATTTGACTGCCCGATCGTGCGTTACGGCGCGTTTCGAGAGCTTTTTACGGTGAGACGGCACTGTTATTGCTGTTTGGATTGCGAGGAATGGACCGTGGGGGCGGTCTAGTAGTCGAGGCGAATGCTTGGGGTTCTTAGGATTTGCAACTACCGTCTATTGCTGTAGAAATCTTTTTGCTGAATTGGAGTTGTGTGTCGATGCTCGTTGCTGTCCGGCTTGGTGTAAGGATTGATTGAAATGCAGGCTGTATTGGTAATTGGCTCGATTGATGTCGAGAACCTTGAGGAGAAGGCTCCATCACGGAGATGTAGGTGGGAGAAGGGATGAGCATCTGGAGAGTTCGGGGTTGGACGGCTTAGACGAGCCTTTGTTGGGGAACTATGAACACGATGATAAGCGTTCTGAGGTGAGGTTGTCTTTTCTCGTGCTGCGTTCTGATGACTCGTTTCGACGTGCATGCATGTGTGTCTCATTGTATTCGAGTGTTATCCCTTTGGTGGCTGATCTTATGATGCAGGGACAAGTACTGGAAGATCTCTGGGATGACGAGAGAACAAAGGAGCGCCTCCATTGGACGACGTTATTTAGCCAGTTGATTGCACAGTGGATGCAATGGCTTGGTATGCAGAACTCTCCTTCCAGTTCCAACAAGACAGATCCTTTACATACTGCCTTTTCTGTTTGCTCTGTTTATAATTACGTGTGATGGATCCTTAATTGTTGTCTTTTCGGGAAGAACTTGGACCAATTCCTTTTGTTTGCTTTTCTCCCACGGAATTTGTTTTCGCATGTACTTCCAACTGTCATTGTAAAGATGTTTTTTCCTTCTAATGACTTAAGTAAGTTTGGCTCTCTTACTTGTGGAGAAATCCTAAAGTTTCACCAGCTCTACCGTTTGATGTAGAAAATGTGCAGGTGAAATAATGCTTATATCTGATGTTTGTTATTTGTGGACTGCTAGATATCTAATCTTTATTGCGCTTGTTGTTCTGTTCGGCTATGGTGCGAAGGGAAAGAGACTTTTTCATGAGTTGCCTCTTCACCGCTAGAAGTTTCTAATTGCTTGGATTTATAGCATGCTTTTTTTTTGGTCAGATGAGTTATAGCATACTTGCTTACGTGGATTTGGCGTGCAAACATGTTCTCCAGTTTTTGCTAGCGGTACCTGCTGGTACTGAAAGCAGATTTGGACCCTTAAGCGCCCTGTAAAGATCTTCGAAAAGCCTTAAGATACCGAGTCATAGCTTGAAATTGCAAGTGAGCCATCAGTGGGATCAATTGTAAGCATTCTGTTGTATGGTCTGGGTTTGTTGCGCCTAGGGCTTGGACTTCTAGAGTTTTCTCAATTTACGTGTGCTACTTGAGCACAATCATTTGCTGTGGTACTTGATGAATATTTGATGTGAAGTTGCGAGAAGTCACTTCTTAAGCTCAGTGGGTGATATTTCTACAGTATGTATAATGTAGCATTTCTCGAAGTACTCTTATTATCTTCTTGACCAACATCATTTTGCTTGTTGTAGCTAACATAGTCCTTGGATCTGGATCGCTGATTGGACGATTTCTTCCTCTTTCTTCTATCACTCAGAATGGACAAAGCAAGAACATGCAACCAACTCTTAGTCCATTGCAGGTATATACAGAATATTCAGAGACTTTCTGAACATAGTAATCGAATTGTTTCTTGATACAATGCTCAGTGAAGAATAATGTGATTCAAATGCATTATTACTTCATATATGTGCATTTCACAGTATTGTAATTTGCAGGGAAACGATTGGACAACTTCATTCTTATTGGATATATACATTGAAGTTTGACTGATATGACGCTTCATTAAACTAGTGAGGAGTCATTTTTTGAGAAAAAGAAGAGAACATGTTAATATCATGCTATAGTTACCTTAATTGACATTGAAATTCACGGAAGATTAGATGTTGTATAGAAATTAAATGCATGGTTTCTTCGAGTTTTGTTTATACTATGGGGGAACCAATTGTTGGCCTCTTAAATTGGTTTCTTAAAAAATGCTATTATGGTAGATCATGCTCTTTTGCCTGTCTACTTGATAGAAAAGTTATTTCTTTTCTAAATTGATCTACCATTTGGATTTGTTTGTAGGAAGAAAGACTTAGAAATCTCCAGCAGAGATTGGGAGTCCCATTTGATGGTTCTCGACTGGAGCATCAAGTAAGTGCATCTTTGTACTAATTAAGCATATTCTTCTAAGATCTTAGATTAGCAAGTGAATGTGAAAATAGAGCTAGAAACTGTTACTTTGGTTAAGTTTATTCGTCATCCAGTAAGGAAAGGTTTTCCCGTGTATAATAGTTATATAGTAGGTTGAGGATAGGAACAAGTTTGTTATCGGGTTGTGTAGCTTCAAGGAGAGAACGTGTGATGGCTGTTCTACTCATCCCCCTAAATCATATAAGCAAATCTGCCAAAAGTCATCCTGGAGGACCCACGCTACCGTCTTCCCTTTAAAGAAATATAGACCAACATATCAGCACACAAAGCATATCTCTCTGTCTTGCCACAAACATCAGAAAACATCTTCCTGAGAGCAAACACATCAGCAATAGATGTTCTCACTGTGTATTCCTTCTCAAAACATCATCTAGATAGGCCCCTTTGGAGGTGATGATAGATTTGGCTTAAGTATGATCTGAACCTTAACTTCTGCAATTTCTGGCATACAATTTTTTAATCATGTTAAGAAATATTTTTTTTTAATCATGTTAAGCATATCTAAAAGCAAACAGGAATGCAATGAGTGGAAATTTGTAATCAATTATCGAACCTGTGTTTATAAAAAATACTGCAACGTACTCAATGGCCAAACCATATGTCTATTCGCATTCTAAAAAATCAGCATGTCCTCCCCCCGTTAGTAGCATATTGAATAATGCAAGAAAAGAGGAAAACGGGACAATCATAAACAAACTGATCCATCAGGTTAAAGCAAGCGGTCTCTCCTAAAACCCGCACACAGTTATCATAAGTGAGATAATCAGGCAGATTTTATCCTCATGAAAGGACATTGAAGAGCTCCAATAATTCTGGAATGCAGAGATTGTGTGTCAGATATTCCTAATGTTTCTGTACTTGTATCTTGCAGGATGCTCTTAGGCAGCTCTGGAAGTTGGCTTATCCTGAGAGAGAACTCCCTTCGCTAAAATCAGAATTGTGGAAGGATATGGGTTGGCAAGGTACTGATCCTTCGACGGATTTCAGGTATGAATAAGTTTTACATCGAAAGTGGTCTGGGATTGAAATTTATTCCGTTATTTGACTGAATTCCTCCTTTTTCATCATGGAAACCTTTTAATACTTCTAGGGGTGGAGGATATATATCACTGGAGAATCTCATCTTTTTCGCGAAGAAGTATCCGGTTAGTTTTTTATTCCCCTCCACTTTATTTCTCCCCCCAACAACAATATTCATATTTGCATCTTTGTTGGTATCCAATCTCAATTACACTTTACTTTTCTCTTGCAAGCAAAATTGAGACACATAATTTTCTGTAGTGATTATCTCTTCTGTTTCGTGAAAAAAGAATCAAAGCAGTATCTTGGCATCTTGAGTAAAATGTGATGGTCTGTGATTATGTTGTCACCTCTAAGACAAGGGAGAAGACTTAGAGAGTTGGTTGAGGGACGCCTCTGCTTGCTAATCTTTTTTGTTATACTTCATATATCCTCCATTCCTGCTGTTGTACTTGGAGGACGTTTTTCTTTGTGTACCTTTTCTGCAGCTGTAATTTATTCTCTTGGCAGTTTGCTTCAATAATTTTTTATATTTAAGTAGTTGTGTATGACTATGCATCTGATACGTAAGATGATTGCCATGCATAATTCGATTGTATCTTGTTGTGAACTTCAAACACGGAATAGGAATTAGTTTCCCTAACCTTATCATCCTTACCGCAGGAATCATTTCAGAGATTGTTGCACAAACAAGACGGTACTAGGGCTGAGTGGGAATACCCATTTGCTGTCGCTGGCATCAACTTATCCTTTATGTTGGCTCAGATGTTGGATCTTCAGTCAGGTAATGATAATTACTGAAGAGGTGCTTGGGGCTCCTTGATTTTCATAGGGTAAAGTGGCACGATTGTTTTGTTGCATCTGACCTTCTTAGATGATGAGTCATGTTATATTTTACAACTCTGATTTTTTGCTATTGTAAAGAGGATTGACAGTTTCATTGCACCTGCAGGAAAGCCATCCTCTTTGGCTGGCATCAGGTTCTTAGAACTGCTTCAAGAAGATGAAATGGCTTTTGATAATCTTTATTGCATAGCCTTTCAAATGATGGATGCCCAATGGCTAGCAAAGCGTGCGTCATACATGGAATTTAATGTAAGTTACCAAAGATAAGTTCCTTATGTTTATTTACCTAGTTACTATTATGAGATACTGTTGAACCTTTCTACTGTCTACTATCGAAACATCTTCAAACACTTATCTTTTATCTATATTTTCTTGTCAGGATGTCTTGAAATCAACAAGAACGCAGCTGGAGCGTGAGCTCTCTCTTGAAGATGTTTCTAGCATTAGGGACTTACCTGCATACAATCTGCTAAAGTTGTAACTGGTAACTCTGAGATATATATAGTATTGAATTATCCCATCTCATGTTCGGTGTCTTCTTCACGTACCGTGCCTGGATAACTTATCGATTTCTTCTATTAGTGAAGTTGAGTGCACGACACAATTTGCGTGTTTGCTGTACAATACCGAGAAAATCCAAAACTTAACATTGTCTGTCAAAATAAGTTATCCGGGAATTTGTTCTCACATTGGACTGCCACTGCTGCTACCTGCTCTTGATGACCCGCTCTGTCGATGCTAGAGAGATGTTGCCTCTAGTGGTGATAATTTGTAAACCTTTTTATAGGACGCAGCAAACATTCATTTGCTGTTGAATTAATTATATCTTCCTCACATTATTATTATGATCCGCAACGCTTGCTGTCTTTTGAGTTGGTGCAAAAATGGTTACAGCAAGAACTACTAGATGAAGGTTGCTGAAGTATGAACGTTTTTCCATCTTCAACTTAAAATATTTTGTCTAGTCACTGATAAATGGGGTGTGAAAGATCTATTAATCGAGTGGTGTTGGATCGTCCGTAATAAGAAAAAGAAAAAAGAACGGAGACAACTTGCTCTCATCCAAGAACCAAAACTGGGATGAAACCGTATGCTGATTTCGCTCATCCGTTTAGCTGTTCAGTAGCAGAGCTCTCACCAATGTCTTCTGATCTTTTAAAGAGCCACTTATTGAGCCGTTCTGACGCTTTGTTCACCTATAAATCAAAGCAATCATGTAATTGGCCTATAAAAATCTTTCATCACGAAATGGAGACAAAAACACAAGAATCTCGAGTCCTTGCCGATATTTCCTGCTAAAATAACTGCTGCAGCAAATGTAATGTGAAGGCATGAATCTGATATGGTCCAAAATTTGCATTTACCTGCTCGTCCCAGTTTGTTCTGTAAGTAATAATACCGAGCACCGCTGTCTGAGTCGCAACTCCTGTTATCATCCCTATCCACATACCCTGTGGTCATCAAACAAAGGAGTTTTAGCAGAGTCTGAAACCGAGTCATAGCTATCTTGGCCAGGTATTCTCCAATTAGTGAAGTGTCGCCTCATCAAACCAAAATTGCAACACGAAATGACGGCTACCTATCGAGTATCTAGCCAAAAACAAAAGCAGGGTTCAGGCCTTCTTACCTGAACTTCTAACTTGGCAACATACGCGAGCACAACTCCAAGGGGAACTCCGATCACGTAATAGGAAACTATGTTAACATAGGCAACCGTACTTTGTCTCCCGGAACCTACCGCCACGCCTGCAAGGGACGAACGGATGGGTCAGCAAGAAAGAGTCTGTAACTAAGTTTACCATTCGCATGACAAGTAGTGGAACGACCCCCGTGTACCTGAGAGCACTGGCTGAACACTGTTAAATAAAATAGAGAAGGCAAGGAGAACTGAGAGGCTTGAAACAGCTTCCGCAACGTCTTCCTCACTTGTGAATATGTAGGCGATCTGTCGACCGAAAACTAGGCACAAGATCCAAAAGACAACTCCAATGCTAATTGAGGTGCCCAAGATGACTTTAATGGCAAACACCGCTGCTTTCGCATTTCCTCTCCCCAATTCATTGGAAACCCTCACACTGTAGGAATTGAAAGGATCGAATCACATAGTGTCAAGCAAGCACGGAACAACTCAAAGTTGCTGAGGTTCATCATAAGCCATACCTAGCTCCCGTTAGGAAACCGAGGCACATCATGAGCTCCCAAGCCGAGATGTTGAGGCTGAAAAAGGAAAACTAAATTCGGTTCATCACTTTCATGGCCACTTACCTCAAAGTAGAAGACATAAGATGCCTTATTCGATGCCATCATACCAAATCGAGAAGGCAGATATTGCAACAGCGGCATTTGTCATGTATCCTGCCAAGAGGACTAAGACAGCATTGTACCAAAATTCCAAGCTATTTCGATCAAGGACAAAGAAAATGGTCAGAGTAAATGACATGAATAACCATTGAATATATCCAATCATGTCCGCCAGTTCTTCATCAAAGAAATAGAGTCGTGCCGTGGTATTTCAGTTGTTATGAACTGACACCAGAGCACAATCCTTAGCATTCTGATTAAGGAAATTCTAGCCTTACTGCATTGTTAATGGCATGAAGAAATTTTTCTTCTCAATCCACTCATCCAACTCCGATAAACGGATTTAAACTATATAATATCTCGCTTGTGATATTTTGCATATGTGAGTTTACTCACCCGGAATTTCTCAGGGGCATAAATGAAATTCGATGAAAAGAAAATCTTACCACAACATAATGCCAGAGGATACCGAAAGCTTCACGACAGGCCATAAATCGGTGAATGCAGCCCAGGTGAACCCCTTCCAAGTACTTTCGCACCAGCCTCCAAACACATACACAAACTCACCAATCACCCCTAACCAATTTGATATTATCATCGCACTCATTGCTCCTAGGATTCCCCAATCAAGTATGTACACGAAGAGCCAAGACAACAAGACATGAATTGCAAATGAGATGGCGGAGAGCCATCCTATGACGCTGTTCTTAAGCTGGCTCTGCAAGAACATTTGGATGGTAAAGTTGAAAACAAAGTAGTAGAGGATCGGGATGAACCACAGGGCAATGTACCCAGCAGCTTCGGCTATTTCATCTTCTACACCGAGAAGCTTGAAAATAGATGAGGTATAGACGAAGACCGGGACCAAGATGGTCGCAGTGACCAGATTGATGATCCAAGATCTTTGTAAGTAAATGCCTAACATGTGGTATTGCTTTGCACCAAATGCTTGCCCACATAATGTTTCGGTTGCACTTGACATGCCCAACTGCAGGATCAAAACGTTCATTTGCAAAGTTCAGTCAAATTTTCCCGATAATGCCTAGTCAAATTTGGTGGATTCACACAACCTATACACCCTAATATTCAATATTCAATTCAAGCCCCTCTCTCGATTGCCCATATTCCATAATTTGCAGGAAGTCCAGCAAAAATAACGCGCAAATTTGATAGTTTCTTGGAAACATGATCGATACCGATCCATATTGATCAAACTATTCACTCATTATCAGAATTTCCCAACAGGTGCTGCCGGATCACATGTGAAATGGTCAGTGTGGAATTAGCAACACAATATATTGTGGAGCCAGTTAACTAAAACAGTCCTAAAAATTATATGGGTGAGACATTAGCTTGAAAAGGGGGGAGACTAATCCTTACAATTATTCCGTTGGCAAATCTCATGCCCATGATTTGTATGAGCGCATAAGCAGCTAGCTCTGTATTACTAATGTGTCCGACGAACGCTTGCGTCACTACAAAGATTCCAAAGGTAGTCACTCTGGCCAACATTGCAGGGAAGGTAACTCTCCATATTTTCTTTGACTCCACCCACACCATCCCTGTCAGGCTACTTTTGTATTTTGCTTCCGTGCCAAGAAGCCTTTCCTCCATCCTGCCTGAAGAACGCGAAGCGTGAAATTCTCTGGGAACGTTTTGCGGATAAACAGAGAGACACAGTTCATAGAATGACCCAAAAGAAAGATCTCTTTAATCGTAGTAATCTTTGTACGGTCTGAACGTACTGCAACCATTGGTGACTGGCCGAGAAAGTAGATCCACACAAAATCATAAAAATATTTTTTTAGGGCAAAAGGACATCAGAAGTGCCATAAGTTGTGTACGGATATCACTTTGGTGCCATAAGGATCACTCTGGTGTCAACTTTTTTGAAAAATGATCACTTTAGTGTCAATGCTGACATGGCTCGCCGGAAATCCTACGTGGCGCTGACATGGCTCGCCGGAGAGGTCCATGGCTAGCCGGAGAGGTCCAGTCAGCATTAAAAACCAAAAACGACACCGTTTAGTCCGCTGACGTGTACTTTTTTAGAAAAATAAAATTTATATTATATTTATTTATATTTAAAAAAAAATGGTCTGATTTGTACACGTGAAAATTATGTGGCTTTTTTTTTTTCGAATTTTTTAATCTTTTTTTTTCCTAACTTTCATATTAATATTTCAGTCAAGTATAGTGATGGGAATTTGGTAGACCGCGTCGGCGTAATGTTAGCATGCTCTTCGAACTCATTGTCATGGGGAATAAAGATAAAAAAAAAAAATCGAAGAAAAGAGGAAGATAGAACTAGCGAAAGGGATGGAGATAGAGTCGGTGGCTAAACGGCAGAAATGCCACCGACTAGCTGGGCCGACCGGACATGCGTTGGCGAGGGGCCATTGACCTCGCTACTCCGGCTCCGAGGATCGCGACTCTTGCCACAAATCTAGTAAGGTCAAATTTGTAGCTGGAGCACAAAACCGAAGCGACGAATGCCCTCACCCTCCAAATTGAGGGCCGCAACCCTCGCCGACCCAGCCAGCGCTCACCAGCAAGTGGCGAGGTCGATGAGGGCCATGGCCTCGCTTGGCTTGCTCGCGGGTGGGCAAGCCATCTCGATCTCTCTCTGCCTCTCTCCGGAGTGTTTGTCGGTGGACATGGCAATGATGTCCGTGCCAAATTTGCCTGGGGCCAGCGAAGGACGCCAGGCCCTTGTTAATGCAAGGCAAGCAAGGCACCGCCGCCACCGCTGCAACAACTTTCCTTCCCTCTTTTACTCTCTATTCTCCTTATTCCATATTCTTCTTTTAGGATTTCCATGTTTCGAAATTTTGAAAAATATTTGTCTTATTTTTGCATTTGTTAAGGGTTTTCAATTGCGCACGCGAGACGAGAGCACTTAACAACGGTTTCAGGATTACATAGCATTCGGGTTCACTATTTAACAAAAGGACCGACTCGAACAGAAGAAAATGTTCGTGTAGTTCCAGGATCCAAGCGGCCGAACAATACTCAGAGGTCAGATTGAACAAATCGAAAAGTTTAGAGAATCATTTGTTCCTAAAGTAAAACTTTCACCAATTTATCAATAGCTTACTTGGATTGACTTTTACCATTTACTATTTGCCTAATCAAAATTTTGCTCTACACGTACACACCTTGATTTGTTCAAAATCCGAAACATCCGAAAGTTTAACGAAACGCAACTGTTGACACGTACATTC